GGTCTTCACGTAGAACTTGTGCCTGAACCATGCCTACGAGCCATCTTGCCTGTCCTGCACTACTCATTTCTGGTGCATAGAAATAGAACTAGTTTGCCAGGCGTTGGTGGCACACGACTTTAATCCCAGCACTCGGGAGGCAGAGGCAGGTGGATCTCTGTGAGTTCGAGGCCAGCCTGGTCTACAGAGCAAGTTCCAGGACAGCCTCCAAAACAATACAGAGAAACCCTGTCTTGAACCCCGCCCCCCCAAAAAGCAATAGAACCAGTTTTATTTATTTATTTATTTATTTATTTATTTATTTTGGTTTTTCGAGACAGGGCATTGGTGGTGCACACCTTTAAAACCAGCACTCGGGAGGCAAAGGCAGGTGGATCTCTGTGAGTTCGAGGCTAGTTCGAACAGGGCAAGTTCCAGGACAGCCTCCAAAACAATACAGAGAAACTCTGTCTTGAAAAAACAAACAACAACAACAACAACAAAAAAAAAGAGTGCTCGTAACACCTACTCTCCGGAGAGGAGAAGCTACTGCAGAAGTGGAATATCAGCGTGGTCGGGGGACAAGGGTTTGGCGGCAGAAGCCTGAAGAGAAGCCACTTCCTGTGTGTTCTCATCTGCTTGTCATCATGAGTAAGGACCGAGGGCCAGTATTTGAATTCCCAGGATCCACGAAAAAAATGCCGTGTGAGTGTGACAACTCACCTGTAATCCTAGCACATGGGATGTCAAGAGGGGATCTCAGGGTCAGCTGGGTTCAGTGAGGGAGCCTCCCTCCATACACATGTGGAGAGCAATGGAAAGACACCATTGCCAACTTGACTTCCATAAAAGGCCCCCACCACGTGCCCACACAGGTGAATATGTACACACATACATACATATCCAACCAATCAAAAAAATCCAATATTCAAGACTATTTCAAAAAACCTAGACATAAAAAATCAAGACTAACGACTCGCCTAGCCATCTTGATTCTTGGTGTGATTTTTTTTTTTTTTGTTTTTTGTTTTTGTTTTTCGAGACAGGGTTTCTCTGTATTGTTTTGGAGCCTGTCCTGGAACTCTAGACCAGGCTGGTCTCGAACTCACAGTGATCCTCCTGCCTCTGCCTCCCGAGTGCTGGGATTAAAGGCGTGTGCCACCAACGCCCGGCGATTCTTGGTGTGATATTTAACACTACTCTCTAACTCTCTAACTTTCTGGTGCCAACGGTGGGCCCACTTCTAACCTAGAGAGCACTCACCACCCAGAGTGGGCAGTTTTCAGAGGAGAACTGGACTCTAAAAATAATTATTTTGCACATTTCTTTTAGCTTCTTTCTCTCCATAAAGGCCTCCACAGATGGCTTCTTTACATCATTCTCTCAAATGACTAGCTGATAAATATTCATACTTATGGAAATTGTGTTGTACATATTCCAACCTTCAGCAGAGTTGACATTTGTTTTATTTTGTCTCTCAGGATGGTGCCCTTTGTTCAGAAGGCTTGTTCTCTGTGAATGCACACTCACAAGTGTTTGCACGCGCACGCGCGCGCGCACACACACACACACACACATTCTTGCTTCCTCATAGGTAATTTTCCAGGGCAATGGTTCACAAGCAAGGGTGATCTTGTCCCACACAGGACATCTGGTGATGTCTATAGATACTCTGGGCTTTCACAGCTGGGGCTGAGGAAGTGTGTCACTCCTGGGACAAGGCTACTGCAGGCTAGGCGTGCTGTTGAACATCCCACAATCCCCAGGTTGGCCACCATCAAAAAGAATGACCAGTCAGGGACAGTAAGTAGGCCAGGACAACTAGAGTGAGGCAAAGAGTGGATGTGGGGGGACACAAAAATGCTAAACTGAGTCAAAGTAAACAAGCTAGAGAAAACACAAAAAATGGAGAAGGTTCTATATGAAGACTGGGCTGGTCATTTATAATAAAAGTTCAACTAGGGGCCTGGAGAGATGGCTCAGAGGTTAAAAGCACCGACTGCTGCTCTCCCAGGGGTCCTGAGTTCAATTCCTGGCAACCACATGGTGGCTCACAGCTATCTACAATTCAATCTGTTGCCCTCTTCCGGCCTGTAGGCAGAACAGTGTATGTAATAAGTAAAAAAAATTTTTTTTGGTTTTTCAAGACAGGGTTTCTCTGTATTGTTTTGGAGGCTATCCTGGAACTCGCTCTGTAGACCAGGCTGGCCTCGAACTCACAGAGATCCCCCTGCCTCTGCCTCCCGGGTGCTGGGATTTAAGGCGTTCACCACCAACGTCCGGCCTGCAATAAATCTTTAAAAAAAAAAAGTTCAACCAATTACCATCACATATCTTTTTGGTGGTATTCGGGGTTGAACCCAGGACTTCAAATATGCTAAGTAAGCACTCAACCACTGAGTGAGATACTCAGCATTTTTTGTTTTAACGGCAGGGCTTTTTACATCGTTTAGGCTACCTTGAATTTGCTATGTAGCCCAGATTAAATTCTAACTGGAGATCCTCCTGCTTTGACCTCCCAAACACTGGAAATCACTTGTACAATTGTTACTTTTTTTTCTTTAAAAGGGAGCTCAAGGTCAATTTTATTAGGGTTTGAAAGAAACATGCCAAGTAATCAAGCTGTCAATCTCTGCAGCTGCTTCGAAGAGCACCTCCATGGGGAAGCAGTAGAGAAAGCCATGCCATTTAGCCAATGGTGGAGGGGAGCTTTCACACAACAGTGAAGCTCAAAGCACACAAGAAAGATGCTTATAAAAGAGAGGGGGCAACAGTTTGCTTTCTGAAGCAGAGCAGAGCAAGCAGCTCTGCAAGTAACTGGGCTGGGAGGCGAGAGCCCTCGCACAATTACTCCTCCTACCTTTTTTGGCATGAATTAAGGCATGGAATCTATTAAGCTACTTTAAAAAATGTCTTATTGTATGATGGATGTGGTCACAGCACACCATGTCCATACATGTGAATGGAGTAGGTTCTCTCCACCTTTACATAGGTTCAGGAATTGAACTCAGGTTGTGAAGGTTGTCCAGCAGTCATTATCTGTGGGACCACCTCAGCAGCCCGTTTTAATTTTTCTAAAAATTTTCAGTAGCTGCATGTTGGTGGCGCACACCTTTAATCCCAGCACCTGGGAGGCAGAGGCAGGCGGATCTCTGTGAGTTCAAGGCCAACCTGGTTCATAGAGTGAGTTCCAGGACAGCCTCCAAAACAATATAAAGAAATCCTGTCTTGAAAAACCAAAAAAATTTTTTCAAATGTTTATTTTATGATGGGCAGTGGTGGCACATGATTTTAATACCAGCACTCTAGAGGCAGAGGCAGGTGGATATCTGAGTTTGAGGCCAGCCTGTACCAAACAAGCTCTAGGACACATAAGACTAGACAGCAAAATCCTGTCTCAAAAAAAATTTTTTTGCATGTATGTTTTGCTTGCATGTGTACACTAGTACACGTCTGGTCTCAGGTCAGAAGAGGTAATTAGGGCTCCCTGGCACAGAAGTTACAGGAGGTTGTGAACCATCATGTGGGTGCTGGGAACCAAACCCAGGTCCTCTGCAAGAGCAACTAGTGCTCTTGGCCTTGATTAATCTCTCCAGCATCACATTTTAAACTGCGACCGTGTGCACACGAGACTGGCGTATGTGTGGACAGAGGATGAGTTTCTGGGGACTCAGATGTTTATTGATGCTTTGCTTACATGTATGTCCATGTGAGCGTCTCAGATCCCCTGGAACTGGAGTTACTTGACAGGTGTGAGCTGTTATGTGGGTGTTAGGAACCCAACCTTAGTCCTCCAAAGAGCAGCCAATACTCTTAATCCATGAGCCTCCCCAGCCCCAAAACACACACACACACACACACACACACACACACACACACACACACACACAAACCAACTACCTTGGCTCCAAGTTTCTTCTCCTTTTTACCCCATCATGTCAGAGATAGTGAATGGCCAAACTCAGTCATGGCACCTGAACATTTGACTGAAGCAGGCATTGTAGGTCTCTGACGTCTGTGCCTGCCTCATCCATAAGCTGAGAGGGTGGAGCTTGAACTTTATAGGGATGTTATGAGGGCTTTAAGACTGAGATGGGCCGGGCGTTGGTGGGTATTCCTGAGAGGTTTCCATAATCCCTATGAGGTCTTACCTGCAAACACTCCCTACTGTAACCCCAAACTGTGAACAACAGAGTTCCAAACCTAGAACACTGTAATTTTTGATTAACATTTTCTTTTTTAAATTTATTTATTACATATACAGTGTTCTGCCAGAAGAGGACACCAGATTGACTTGTAGATGGTTGTGAGCCACCATGTGGTTGCTGGGAATTGAACTCAGGACCTCTGGAAGAACAGTCAGTGCTCTTAACCTGTGAGCCACCTCTCCAGCCCTTAACATTTTCTATGTAAGTATTAAGGGCACCAAATCCATAGACACTGAAGAGACTTTCATCTCTTATGAACACAGAAGGTTCACCTGAAATCTAGTTTTGACCATTTAACAATATAGAAAACACTGAGCTATTGGCTATCCCCACCACTTTCCCATTCATAGTGTTTCACTGGCAGTATTCCTTGTTTAGACACAGACAGAAGGGCTCTGCTCTGGGGCGCATTCTACCAGAGGTCTGAAGGCCCAACCTCTTGTGGCTGCTTTCTGCCTTATGCCTTTGCAGCCAACATCCAGACATAGCCCATGCCTACAGACTCAACCAATATGGGCAAGTCAACTATCTATTTTGCTATTTTGGTGTGTCTGTGTCCACTACGACACGTGCAGAGGTCAAAAGACAACCTTGAGAGCCTCACACCTACCTTATAGTGCCTTCCGTGATTTAGCCTCTATGGCAGTGGGGCCTGAGGCCTTCCTTGCACACACAGGCTATGCCTACCCAGACCTCCAGAACCCTTTCAAAGCACCAACATAAAAACTTCAACTCTTGCCAAGGAATAAGACTTTGAGGGAGGTTAATGACTAGGGTGACAGGTGCCACAAAAACACATCAACAACACCAGAATGAAAAGGATATTTAACTGTTTATTTTTATTTAAGAATTTTACAAAACAGAAAGCAAAATTCAAACAAAAATGAAAAACAAAGCCACAACCAAAACCTATACAGAGTACTTTCAGTGTGAAGATTGAGTGTTTCTACTTGAGGGTGAATGAGCCCTGCTCAGTGAAGCCGACACACTTGCAATTGCATGAGACTGAATTTGAAAGTTACATATCAAAATGACGGCAGCACTGGGTCTGGACACTGGGGAGCAGGTTCCCAGGAGAGGCTGAAGGCAGCAATGTGGCATCGTGGGAACAGCATGTAGCCTTCCTTCAGATGGACACTCCTGTGCAGAGCAGCAATACCAAGAGAACTGAGGAAACCAGAAGCCACCGAGAGTTCACATGTGACTCAGTTTCAGGTCTTTGGACTCCTTCAGATGTTCCCAGATGCACTGTGTCAGATGAGGAAGACCAGTGCCCACACACAAAATACCCTTTGCGCAAGGAGGTAGAACCTGGCACAAGTTTTATTGCAGAGACACAGACCTCTCCCACCCCTCATGGTTGATAAAGTGGTTATTGAAAAGCAGTAATAGTTTGCAAATTCGATAAGAACTATGAACAGGATGAATTTTTTTAGTGGTGAGGCTGCACTGTGCTATGTTAAGAAAAATTTTAAAAGAACCCTCAGTCCCACAAAGACAGGAACCGCTCAGGTTTCTTTACCTTCTTCAGTGCCAGTCACTGCCATGGCAGCAAGGTCCTCCCCATCTATCTGCACAGGCTCCCAAGGCCCTTCCTTTGGGTGGGGTCTGGATTAGCAGGCCAGAAGCAGAAAGGCCAGACTAACTCTCCCCCAGGGACTTGCATACTATTTCTCAACCCTAAGGTGTCTTGAAGTGCAAAAAAAAAAAAAAAAAAAAAAAGTAGCTGCCACCTTCTGTCTCTCCGCACTAAATGGTGTCTCACAGTTAGCTGTTTACTGTAGAACTCCTGGCTTGTGCATGCCCTGATACATCCCTACAGATAGCTGGCTGCTACTGCAGGACACATGTCAACCACGTCTCAGGCACCAAAGGAAGGGAGGTGGGGTGCAAGGGAATTCCTGCTGGAGCAATCTGTGACAGGCCTTCAGTCATGACAACTAAGTTCCAAAGATTCAGCCAAATGGAGGCAATTTTCAAAGTGTCATCAAGTCTACCAAGCTGAATGCTCACCGAAATCTTTCCTGAGAATTACAGAGGACATTTTTTGAGGGTACAAAGGCGTGTAAATAAAACCCCACTCCTGTGCTAGGTGAGGGTCAGCACCATCTCCATGACCTCCCCAGGCCTTCGCACCAATATCAATGCCCCAGAGCTCAGAATCTCTGTTACAGGTCATCCAGCCAGGAGTGAGACCCCAACCCTGAACAGCCTTGTGTGCTAAAGGTGGTGCCAGCTTCTACAGAAGAACTGCTGACAAATATTTGTGGCCAGTTATAATCAAATTACTGTGTTTGTCATAAACTAATCTGCTCACCACCTGTGGGGTCACAGAAATGCAACTTCTTATACATAGGAAGTATGCAGCCAAGCCACGAGCCAATGAACTATTTGCAAGGTCTTACTGTCAGGCAGGTGGCAGGGAATGAGGGACTACTGGAGTAGGCCTCAATAAAGGCAAGAGTCAGTCAGTCAGGCTTCAAAGGAGCTGCAGCTGGCTACAGGCACACGAAGATATTAAAGGAGCTCAAGGGAGGTCTAGAGAAGCTTTTCCTTAAATATGAAAGCATCAGGCTCACTTAGCTTCCAGAAAACAAAAATGAGCACAACCAGTCACATGGTGACAGGGTCAGGAGCAGTGCTCACGTGCATCCCAAGACAGCATAGCCAGGTATGTGGGCAATGTGGGAAAGAGGACTCCTACAAACAGGAGACAAAGACGAACTCTAAACAGAGTATCTACTGACTCAGCTAAGAAGCTTTCCACAGTTTCCTAAGTTTTAAAAAACAAAAATAATAAGATGTCCCATATGGGAATCCAGAAAAGAATAAATAGGAGGGGAAGGAGGAGGGGGACACAAGAACAAGTGAATGGGGCCCTGATTTACAACATTTACACTTGAAATGTAGAAGAACTCACGCTTCCCTATACATTCATTATGTACATATATAAGTACAGTATACAACAGAGGGTGGGCACTCTTGCTTTACATAGCTAGCCTTGTTGAGAGATTTTCTTGCAAACGGTTTCCATCTGATAAGCTGCATCCATGACATGAAATGTTTGGCTCATTTCAGCACAGTGTGCCAAAGCAGCTGTGTGTGTGTGTGTGTGTGTGTGTGTGTGTGTGTGTGTGTGTGTGTTTCACCAGAGTCCACACATATCGGAAGGACATTTAACAAACACACCATCAGTGTTTCTTTTGCCGTGAGTATTCCTCAACTAACTAAACACTCACTGTGTGGATCCTAGCCCAAGAACAGCTTTTCTGGGACACCATTCCTAGCAAGTGCCAGAGCCCATAAAGGTCCCTCTATAAAATCAAGATCCCTGGGTAAGGTCTTATGGGATGATGACATCTCCACCTTCATTCAAGTGAGCCACAGCAGCCCCTGTGCTAATATGGGAAGTGGAGGAAAGGACAAGAATTGTACATGGATGTCCTCCTTCCCCTTCTCTGCTTTCTCAGAAGTTGTTCTAATATCATTGCATGGAGATCGGCTAATAAAAGTCCCAAAAGCTACAGCCAAAACTCCTGTGGAGTTTGGTAATCTAGAACTTTTCTTTCCATAGACAGAGCCAAATCACAAGTTTTATTGTTGCAACTCAAAAGGTTCTTAAGTGCTGAGTAAGAATAAATACATGTATGTGCATACCTACAGTGCTTTGGATACAAGTTCTCCCTAATCTATACACATAGGAAAAAGCAAACACTCAAAGCAGATCTGCAATTTAGTAGGAAAAGAGCAAACTGCTTAAACTGCCTAGCTTTCTGATAACTTGTGTTTACATAAACACTTAATACTTCTCTGACTCTGCACCACTGACAGCTCTGACTTGACCACAAAGAAGGCAAGCCTGTGGCACAAAGGCTGCTAGGGGAGAGAGACATGACCTCCCTAGCAAGCATACCTGAGCAGCATGGAACCTGGGAGTGATTTTCAGCACAATCGGGACTGTAAACTCTGAAAACACGGATGGGATCAACAATAGGATCTGCTGCTCAGAGTTGTATTGCTTAAGTGGGAGAAAAGGCATCACAGAGGCCAAGGACTTAGGGTGGGTAGAGTTAAGTGATACCCCTGGATGCAGACGTGGCATTCAGATCCAGTGGGATACTGGACCAGTTACTTATGTGATAGTGGCTGAGAAGACTTGGATTGTGACACAAAAGACCCTTGAATGCTGGAGCTTTCCTGGTGACTGACATAGATTTTTACAGGGCATAGCGCAGAAAGCGCATGCTCCTCTCAGAGGGTTGGGCATCAACCCCAGGTACCATCCATACTGAGTGGGCAAAGGTGACTCAGCTTCTGCCCTTCCACACCACTTGCCTTTTCAAGTCTGCTTTGAAAGGGCCTTCAGATGCCTAGTATTCGCGGGCCTTTTCTTAGTAAACAACAAAAATGATGAACAGAACACAAACAGACCCCTTACCAAGACTTGTCTACTCCAAGAGCATGTCACAGCGTCATCACTGGGTGAGGTGTTCACTAACCACATGCTAGAGAAATCCTGTAGGTGTTGCTTTAAAAGCACCAGAAAAGCCAGGACCCACCAAAACAGCTATCTGCACACGCGAAGGGGCTGGCATCAACAGCTTAGAACACGGCATCTTTCCCGTCCTCTGGTCTCACAGAGAAAGTGAGTTAAGTTAAGCCCTTCCTTAGGCCTTTTTCATAACATGCCAAAGGAAGATGAATGGTCCACCAGTTCAAAAACAAAAGCTCAGAGGTTTTGTGAAGGGGACACAATTCTACTCTCAGTGGCCAACTGGACTAGACCACGAAGGGATACTGTTCGCTCGATGCTCATGAGATCACTGCCTGAGATACACGGAATGAGGATAAAAGTTGCATCCACTGGGCAAAATGTGCCCAAGAACAAAAACCATTCTCCACTTGTTCTTTGAGGCACTAAGAATAAATAAATCTGAAACAATATTACGGTAAACTTAACCAAAGAAACTTGAGAGAATGAGAGCCCTAAGTGCTCTATCTGGTTTCTGTCACTACACACACCTCACCCAATTCTTTGAGAAGTTTAAAAAGCTACAAAGAGAACAATTCAACTTGAAAAACATTCAAAAGTACCATCATTTACCCCGTCCTTAAGATCACCTCAAATTCCAGGAAGGGGTGTCAGTCAGACTCTAAGGCTACCTGGAAGGCTAAGGCCACGCTGAGTTCTACAGAGCCCTGCTACCTAGGCCTGGAGTCCCCAGTGAGGGCCTAAACAAGAGTCCACTTCATTAGTACAATAACTTTTTTATTCAATATCTACAAGATTTTGATATCTTGTAGCTTTTAACCAGATTTATACAATCTCAATGTTTCAATAGTGCAACCTGTGCAAGCAAAAAAAAAAAAAAAAAAAAAAAAAAAAAGGGTAGAAAAAATGGGGGGAGGAGAGGCTGGGAGAAAAAACAAAAAGACCAATTGTCCCCTCACTGGTTTTTTATAAACATCTATTATAGGCGAAACAAAACTTACCCATGTTATAGATAAGTGTCTATTCACATTTGTACATTACCATTTTTAACAGCTGGAGATAATCTCTACAATGTCTTATAGCACATTAAACAATATTCAAGTTACTGGGTAACAACAACAACATACAGCAGAAGCCAAGTGTTTTCTCACTGTCTAGTTTACAACTCAAGTACGGTTTCCGGTTTGAATGACCAAGCAGATTCAGATAATGAAGTAAAAAAGACTGTGTGCAAGATGGAAGCCAATTATACTTCTTCCTAAAACTATGTTTAAGTTAAGGAGAATGTAACTAGTAAAAGGCTTTCAGCCATTTTTTTGCAGCACAAATTAGAAATACTATTAACACATTAAAATAAACTTTTAAAGAGTTTTATCACAAAAAAAGGTATGTACTTACTTTACTACTTTGACAAGAAACTTGGGACAGGGAGGAGCAGGTAGGGCTGAGGGTTAGAAGCAACACCCAGGTATCAACACTAGAAATGCAATACCCAATTCTGTCCATCTCCAATGCTTCTCTCCACACGTGACTTCTGTGGTAAGTCTTGATTACACATGCTTTCAAAGACATGCACTGCCAACGGAAGCTACGAAAGAACCTGAATGCATGGCACACGCAACCCTTTACTTCATGCTGTAGGAAACATCGTTTAAGTTGGAAAAGAAACCAATATATATATATATTCTGTATTTAGAGACTTAGAACACATGCATCCGGGGAACTCCCACAGTAATGACAAGGATGTACTGTGTTAACCCTGAGCACTGTAGAAAGGAAAAGTAAAGCCAGTTTGGGAAGTTCCAAGCATTTTCAACCAACTGTGGTCTTGTAGCGTTTAACAAACTCACAGACAGACACATACACGCGCGCATAAACACATCCGCTCTGCTCACCCAAAGTAAAAGAGCACAGGCAGCCCCAAGGAAGCAAGAGGAAAGACACGTGTCCCCTCCACTCCGCTTGCTGTCAGCATTGCTGCCTATTACAGGCTTGTCCTTAACCCCCAAACTAGAGAGCACAACTGGGAAGAAAAAAAAAGAAAAAAAAAAAAGAATTCTTTGGAAACTGTCCCTGATTTTTATGCAAGTGGTATGCTCTCACAGCATTCTACACCACGTGGAAGCTGCTGCTGTTTACGCGTTGCTCAAGTTGGTGATGCTCTGTGGGTGATGCTGCTGCCACAGCTGTTTTTGTTGGACTGCGAGCTGCTGAGACTGGTCTGAAGTTGACAGGAGATTTATAAGAGGAGACACGCAATTTGCTGGAATGATCAAACCTGTAATTAGAAAGGAGAATCTATGAAGTAAAATCCAGCAGAAACTACTGTATAGTAAGTAGTACATCTTCACAAAGGACTGCAAACCTCCCCCAGAAACAAAGACAGGCGGCAAGAACTGGACTCAAGCTGTTCATGGGAGACTCCCAGATGCCTCAACATGGATGCTTGTGCACACATGCATGTGCCCAGTGTAACAAGTGCGCAGTGCAGTACTTTCCCATCAACCACTTCATAACTTCATAGTCCTTCAGATACAATGCCTTCCTTCTGCCACTCAATAAGGTGCAAATGTACATCTTAGTCATCAGCAGAGATGGACACAGAAGACTACAGGGCAAGTGGAGGAACAGGTCCTAGCTAAGGGAATTTGAGTCCTACCCAATGTAGCAGCTGAGCATGTCCCCCTCCCCCAATAGGGCTTCTTTGTGTAACAGTCCTTGCTGTCCTGGAACTCACTCTGTAGACCAGACTGGCCTTGAACTCACAGAGATCCATCTGCCTCTGCAGTGTGTACAGCAGCAGCAAACACATTATGTGTGTTTACAACCACAACTACCTGACCAGAAAAAAAAATTCACTAACTGGCAAGCAGTCCTGCCACAATAAAAGGGTTGTCAGCAAGGAACGGTGTAGGAACTAGCCGACTTGTAGGACATCTATAGCTGACCACATTGCTCTGACCTAGCCTGCTGTCCTAGCCTCTGCAGGACTTAAAGATCTCCTCTGGGTTGTGGCCTGAAGATGTACAGACAGCCTCAGCCTGGCTGGCTGAATGCAGCACCTGAGAAAGAGTAGGTCATCTCCAGAGTAGCAGAGGGTAATGGTCAAGAGAAGTTGAGAGTGGTATCAAAGACAACTGCTGACAGATCACAATGTCTAATACAAGGATCAAGTACAACTGGCTATTGTAGTGCCTGTCTGTGATCCCAGCATCTGAGGGTCTGAAGTCTTAAACTGCTCTCAGTCTTGTAAAATAGATAGCATGTTCTGTGCCCACTACTAGAACAAATAGGAAATAAATCAGCAACAAATCTAAGATGTTAGCAGTGAATAATAATAATAATAATAAACAATAGGGTAGGATCTCACTCTTCCCACTCGAACAACAACAACAAAAAAAAGCAGCTCACCTACAATCCGCTGTCCATCTTCAGTTCTTAGCCGCACTATCTGCATTTTCACATTTGTGCCACTGACAGAGGCCAGAACACCCTCCACTTTTGTCCAGACACTCAGTACTGAGCCACATAACACGTAGTATGTGCGGCAGCGGAGACCTATCTCACATACCAATCCTAAGCTTGCTTTTTTGCAATTGCCACGCCTAAGAAACACGGAAAGAGAAATATGTATAAAAACATGCATACACACGACTATTCTGCAAAGCCTGGCCACACTTCAAGAGGAAAAAAGCTACATGACTTTTTCCTAGGACATTCCTTGGGCTTACTAGTTTATCCTTTCCAAATCTAAGGTGTCCCAATTGTGCAAGTTCAGCTACGCCCAAGGATGGCCTTCTTGCACACTTTTGGCACTTCAATATCCTGTTCCTCCGTGGCAGTGCTTATTACCGCCAGTTGATACTGTGTCAATGAACCTGCTTTTTAAGTCTGACCTGAAGCAACTGGAGTACAAATACCACAAATAAATGCAAGAAATGAGAAAAAAGAGTTACAGAAGTATCTAAATTATCAAAGTAAAATAAATTTGTTTTGTTTTGTTTTTTTTTGAGACAGGGTTTCTCTGTAGCCTTGGAGGCTGTCCTGGAACTCACTTTGTAGACCAGGCTGGCCTTGAACTCACAGAGATCCGCCTGCCTCTGCCTCCCGAGTGCTGGGATTAAAGGCGTGCGCCACCAACGCCCGGCTAAAATAAATTTAATACAAGATTTTACTTATTTTTACTTTTGTGAGTGTGGGTGTTCTGCCTGCATTATGTGAAGTAAATTACAAACACACACATACACAAAATGTGAAGCAACATGGAAACACTAACCAATACGCATGAGTACAGGTGTCTGCAGAGGAATTATATTGATCCAGCCAGTGCACCAGAGCATCATCAGAGACTACCTGCAAAGACAAAGCAAAACCCCATTGCAACAACTCAACACCTGACCTGATTACTAATTTCAGGAGCAGTCAATAACAACAAAATCATCTTCCTCAGAAAACCTAGCTTCCACTACTAGCAGAATGTAAATACCACCCCCCCCCTTGGGAAGCTTTGCAGATAGCTAGTTGAATACAGTTACTTCTAGAAAGGCAATACTTTTAGAAAGCTTATACGCAATGTTGGAAAAACAGCTATTAACTTTTCTGGAAATTTGTAGGATAGAAATATATGGCATGCCCACCACAAATCAAAAGCTGGTAGGAAGGACATCCCAGTACCAAAGCATTGCACTGTGATTTGGGCATGGAGAGTCACATGCTCATCTTGTCTCAATGTGCAGTAACATCAAAACTGCAACAGCAGTATAAAAGAAAACTTGCTACTGTAGTAAAATGGCCATCCTTGAACTCAGGAATTATAGCTAATATAGTTTCCTATCACAAAGCAAATATTTACACAGTACCAAGTGTGACTTAAGAAAATACCTTCTTATATTTCTTTTTCAGATCAGCATAAATTTCTAGTTTGAGTTGTTTCCCAGTGTTTGGTCGGTAAATTAAAAATAGTTTCTTCTTAGGGTTGACTTCTTTAACTAAGATTGCAGTTTTTTTGTTGTTTCTTATCTATTAAAAGAACAATTGAAAAAATATGTAAGCACTTGATTCTACACAATTAAAAATATTCTGTCACAACATCACAGCAACAAATTCAGTACTCAAATGACAACACCAAGCAGGGAGGTGGTGGTGCATGCTTTTAATTCCAGCACTTAGGAGGGAGAAGTAGGGGGAATCTTTGAGAGTTTGAGGCCAGCCTGGTCTACACAGCTATTTGCAGGGCCAGTTAGGGCTGTTACACAAGGAAACCTTGTCTCAAAAAAAAAAAAAAAAAAAAAAAAAAAAAAAAACCATAAAACAGACAACACCAGCTAAAGTGTGCAACCACAAGCCTCAGAGGAGGCTGCTTAGCTAACTGGCTAATCACATAAATTGAGGGTCATAGCAGCCTTTACTTCTTAAATAATTCTTTTATTTTTATATACTTTAATAATTTACATAACTTAATTTTATGTGCAGTGTTGTGAAGGTATCAGATCTCCTGGAACTAGAGTTACAGGCATAGTTTTTTTGTTTTTTTCAGGCATAGTTTTAAGCTGCCATTTGTGTCCTAGGAATTGAAGCCAGGTCTGAACAGTCAGTGTTCTTAACCACTAAGCCATCTCTCCAGCGCCCCATCTCCTTTTAGATGAATTTCTATTTTCTACTTTATTTACTTTTTTAAAAAGATTCATTCATTCATTCCATATGCAGTGTTCTGTCTACATGTATGCCTGTATGCCAGAAGAGGGCACCAGATCTCATTATAAATGGTTGTGAGCCACCATGCAGTTGCCAGGATTTGAACTCAGGACCTATGGAAGAGCAGTCAGTACAGTATTCTTAACCTCTGAGCCATCTCTTCAGCTACAGTTTTTTTTTTTTTTTGAGACCTCCAACCATGGGCCAGAATGGCCTGGAACTTACTATGTAGACCATGCTAACTCCTATGTCTGTCTCCACAGAAGACTTCTGTGTCTATTATGTGTGCTTATTTATTTACTTTTTGAGAATTTTTTTCTCTTTCTTTCTTCCTTCCTTCCTTTCTTTCTTTTTGCCAGAAAAGGATTTCTCTGTGTAGCTTTGGTTGCCATGGAACATGCTGCTGATTACGCAGGCCTCAAACTCACAGAAATCGGTCTGCCTTTGCCTCCAGAATGCTGGGATTAAAGGTGTGTGCCACCTTTTGTGTGCATTTCATACATGTATTAATATATTCTGATTATAGTCACCCTCCAGAGATAATACAAAACATTCCCCTCCCGGCTTCACGCCTGCTGCTTTTAGCCTGCTGCTTTTAGCCAGAGCTCAATCATGCCCCAACGTGTGAGTGTGAGGGTATCTAGTGTGAACCCACCTTCCTCCAGCTCCTAGCTACAGGTGTGACCTTATGAGCTCCTTCCCATCCTCCACAGAGCCTTCAGAAACTGTCAGAATAAGTGTTCTCTAAAAAAAGTTTGCTTCTTCTGTTCTTTATACATGGAATTAAGATAAAAAAAATCTCAAAACAAAAAAAATTTTTTGAGACAGGGTAGCCTAGGCTGTCCTGTAACTCACTCTGTAGACCAGGCTAGCCTCGACTCACAGAAACTGGCCAGCCTCTACCTCTGAGTGCTGGGATTAAGGGCATGTACCATCAGTGCCCAGCAAGTAGAACTACTTAAACATGCAAACAAAAACTACTATTAAAAAGTAAAATAAGCCGGGCGTTGGTGGCCCACGCCTTTAATCCCAGCACTTGGGAGGCAGAGGCAGGCGGATCTCTGTGAGTTCGAGGCCAGCCTGGTCTACAAAGTGAGTTTCAGGACAGCCTCCAAAGCCACAGAGAAACCCTGTCTCGAAAAACCAAAAAAAAAACCAAAAAAAAAAAAAAAACATTAAATTATAAGAGCAATACATTATTTCAAAAAGCTAGCTACTGGCTAAGTGTGGTAGGTGGTGCATGCCTGTAGTGCGGGCACTCTGGAGACTGATGCATACATAGGGCCAGCCTTGACGCACAGAGAAAAGCTGAGAAGGGCTCCATACTAGAACCTACTGTTGTTTCCATCTGTAGTAACTATGTCTCTGAAGTACCAGAGGCACAAACTCAACAGTAACCAAGTTCAGAGGCCTTCCTAAAATGAACATGAGGCAGACAAAGCAAATAAGAGGAAGGCAGGACCCACTGGTGACTGACCAGAAGAGACCACAGGAGTAAGATGAGAAGCTCAAAGAGTATACTCTGTAACTACCCAATTCTCCCATAATACAGAAACACAACTGTTTTTAAATTTAGGATGTGTGGGACTGAAAAGATGGCTCACTGGTTAAGAACACTGGAGAGGACCCAGGTTGGTTCCCAGCACTCACAGGGTAGCTCAGAACTGTCTGTATTCCAGTTCCTGGGGGATCTGATGACCTTCCTGGCCTTTGTGGGCACCAGACAAAAACTCCATATACAGATGCTCATGTAAGCAAAACATGCTGTACATACAAAATAAAATGAAGCCTGACATGGCATGCACACCCACACACAATAATAAACAAATCAATAAATAAGATAAGATTTAATGGCTAAGGTTAGCCAGGCATGATTGTGTACTCCAAAGGCAGAGGCAAGGTGATCTATGTGAATTCAAGAGTTTTCCCAGAACAAGCCAGGACAGCACAGTGAGCTCTATATCAAAAACAAAAAAAGTGAAGCCATAAAAATAAGAAACCCAAGAAAAGCATGCTTTTCCTGATAACACTTTGAAGAAAATTCAATTCTTACTTGCAATGATAAGTAAAAGCCATCATCTGGTCCTGTCAGCTCTGCCCAAATCTTGGTTGCTTCTTCCCAGGACATTCCCCTCTCCACGCTAATCTGTGAAAGACAGAGATTTAAATGCAGTTCCTGTGTGGACACTGCAAAGCAACAGCCATTTTGCAAACTTACTGTGTATAGCTCTACGTGGCCAGAGGTTGAGTATCCTGGAGTCAGAAACTTCTTCACATCACTCTTCCTCACCTTCTCATCTCCAGAACCCAGATCTTCAGAAAGAAACAGGATGTATATAAATGGGGAGATACTCTGGACCAGGAGCACAGAGTGTATGTAAGAGTCCTCACTTACCTAGGATTCCCATGTCATATCTTCCATTTTTCTTGGCATTCTGAACAACTGCAGTAAGTGTGTCAGCAAAATACTGAAACAATGCATTCTGCTGATGTACCTCCATGCCCAGAATTCTGTTTAAGAATTTTCCTATATTGTTATAGTCTGCAATGACAAAAATATGAAAAATTCCATGAAAGCCAGTTTGTGAGCAAATCTAAATCCTCTGAGACAACATAATCAAAGCAGCAAAACTTTAAAATTAGCTGGGCGTTGGTGGCCCACACCTTTAATCCCAGCACTCGGGAGACAGAGGCAGGCAGATCTCTGAGTTCAAGACCAGCCTGGTCTACAGAGTGAGTTCCAGGACAGCCTCCAAAACAATACAGAGAAACCCTGTCTAGAAACAACAACAACAACAACAACAACAAAAATTTCACGAATTCCCTGGTAATTAATTAATTTGTCCTTTAGCTAGGTAAACCTTCAAAGTGTCACTTCAAGGTCTAGTCCTCCACTCAACTTTTGAACTGCCCTTACAACAGGCTGCACTATAGTATCCTGGCCCTTTCCAACTTTGGCCACCAGCAGCTACAACACAAGCTCACATGACAGTCATGAGTACAATTTAGCACATAAGAATATTGGTTCACCAATATCAAATCTTCTATTCCATTTACTTATTTACTGTTTCTTCTTTTCCAAGACAGGGTTTCTCTGTGTAACAGTCCTGGCTGTCCTGGATCACACTTTGTAGTCTAGGTTGGTTTTTGAACTCACAAAAATCCACCTGTCTCTGCCTCCCCAGTACTGGGGCATTCCAGTTGTGTGTCCAGGGCTGAGAGTCACAATTTAGCAGCAGGACTTGGGGTTAAAATTTAATGCTGGGAAACTGAGTGTGGTCTGTAAGTCTCTATAATCAAGCCTAGTATTGGGGAAATTGAAACAAGGTGAGGACTGTGTCTCAAAATAGTATTTGGAGCCAGAGATACTCAGCAGTTAAGAGCTTGTAGGGATCTGAGTGAGGCTGGTTTCAGTGTCATGTCCTCATACATACCACATAATTAAAAACAAAGCTCTATGCTGGATGGTAGTGGCACATATCTTTAATCCCAGCACTTGGTAGGTAGAGGCAGACAGATCTCTGAATTCAAGGCTAGCCTGAAATACACAGAGCGAGTTCCAGGACAGCCTCCAAAACAATACAGAGAAACCCTGTCTCGAAAAACCAAAAAAAAAAAAAAAAAAAGCTAAAGACTAACACTCAAGGGCATATAGGCAGGTGGATCTCTTTGAGTTCCAAGACCAGCCTGGTCTAGACAGCAAGTTTCAGGACAGCCAGGGAAACATAGAAAGACCCTACTTCAATAAATAAATACACCAAAGATAAACAAATAAATAAATAAATGTGATTTTTTTAAAAAGGAAGCATTAGTAGGTTTAGGGTAATTCAAGTTCTAGCCAGAATGATTTAGGACATTGCCAATAACTATCTGGGGGGGGGAGATCCATGTGAATGCAAACCTAACAATATCATTAGGGTGCAAACAGTTGATTACAGCCCAAACAGGACCCTGTTGGAATAATACTTTTTAAAAAAAAAAAAGATTTATTTATTTATTTATTTATTTATTTATTATGCATACAGTATTTTGCCTTCATGTATGCTTATAACCAGAAGAGGGCACCAGATCTCATTACAGATGGTTGTGAGCCACCATGTGGTTGCTGGGAATTGAACTCAAACTCTGGAGGAGCAACTAGTACTCTTAACCCCTGAGCCATCTCTCCAGCCCCGGAATAATACTTTTAAAGAAGTGGCACATCATTTTTGAGCATGTATCTGGGAGACCCTGAAGTCCAGGAAAGGATCAACCTGAAGCCTTTCTATTTCCCCTGTGCCCTGCTCATGTCCTACCATCACCTGCCACATTCATGTGGATGCTTATTTCTTTTTTCTTTTTTTTTTCTTTTTTTTTTTTTTTTTTGGTTTTACGAGACAGGGTTTCTCTGTATTGTTTTGGAGGCTGTTGGTCCAGCCTGGCCTCGAACTCACAGAGATTCACCTGCCTCTGCCTCCCGAGTGATGGGATTAAAGGTGTGCGCCACCACCGCCTGGCTTGGATGCTTATTTCTAACAATTACTATGAACAGAAACATGCTAAAAATAAACGAGCAAATAAACAACAAAGAGGGCTTCAGATAACTCAGTGGAATAACACTTTACTAGTACAGGCTCTGGGTTCCATTTTAGAACCACTTATAATCCCAGCACTAGGGTGGCTAAGGAAAAAGCACTTCCCTGAGTTTTGGTAGGGTCAATCCAGGCTAGAGTGTTTCTGTGTCAAAAAATATAGTATGACAGAGCTAGTTCAATGATTCAACTGATCGAAGTGCTTACCACCCAAGGCTGATCAGTTGGATTACTAGAACCTACAAGTAAAAAAATGTCAGATGTAGCGGCTATGTGTAATTCAAGCAATTCCATAGTGGGAGGAGCAGCAGACACAGAAGACACCCAGAAACTCACAGGCCAGCTGGCTTAGTCAGTACAGAAGCTGAAATACTCTGCCTCAAAAGCAAAGTGGAAGAAGAGAACCAGATTTCTCCAAAGGCAGGCTTTCAGAAACATAAATACACACACACACACACACACACAGACACACACACACAGTTGAGAGGAGGATTCTTTCATAAGTGAGCAATACTACACACAGTGACATCAGCCTTATCAAGCTCCATGCACACAGTGACATTACCTTTATCAAGAGTGAGAATTCCTGACCGGTCTTCTACATTAATCAGGCCCACTCCTATCAGTCCTTGCCGAACATCTGTGAGAAAAAATATGAAAAATGTTCACAATCCAAATGACTCAATGAGCTGTTAATCAAACAAGATTAAGTTCTAGCATTAAGATTTAACCTATGCATCTTGCTCTATTCCAGTCACCTGAACTGAACTGGCAAACAAAGCACCCAATAATCTCTATCCACTGCAAAACCCTAAGTCGCCAAACCTCACATTATGTGTCTGGTTTGCTTGGTTTCTACTGTTTTTGGTAGTACTGGAGAATGAACTCAAAACCCCCCCAAAAAAAAAAAAAAAGCCACACTCCTTCATTACCAGACAGGCAGTGCTGGTTCACACCTTTAATCCCAGCACTGAGAAGGCAGAGGCAGGTTCATCTCTACAGATCTAGAGCTAGTTCCGACAGTCAGGGCTAATCAGAGAAACACTGTCTCGTTAAATGAATGATTAAACAAAAATTTAACTAGGTAATGGCACACACCTAAAATTCCAACACTAGGGAAGTAGAGGCAGGAGATTTCTTTCTTCCTTTTTTTTTTTTTTTTTTTGGTTTTACGAGACAGGTTTTCTCTGTATTGTTTTGGAGGCTGTCGGGCCAGCCCAGCCTCGAACTCACAGAGATCCACCTGCCTCTGCCTCCCGAGTGCTGGGATTAAAGGCGTGTGCCACCACCGCCCGGCGGCAGGAGAATTTCTATGAGTTCAAGGTTTAGCCTGGTCTATAGAGTAAGTTCCAGAACAGCGAGGGCTACACAAAGAAACCCTGTCTCGAAAAGCAAACAAACAAAAAATACATGTTTATCTTTGGTGGCTTCACACCAGAGGGTGAGGCAGGAGAATAGTTTCAAGGTAAAAATCCAGCACAGTCAAATTCTAGGTTAACTTGGGTTATCGTGTGCCTCAAAAAACCAACCAGGGCTTGAGACGGGTCAGTAAGGAAGAATGCTTGCTGCTGTCAAGCATGATTACTGGGATCTACAATGGCAATGGTAATAGGGAATAAACTCCCACAAGTTGTCCTCTGACCTCCATACATGCTATGAACATTCACCATACCACCCCCTCAAAATAATTAAAACACAGATACATATTCAGGACATATCTTATCTTTTTACAAGAACACCCTGTATATTATAGAGATCATTTATCTAAATACCCACAAAATTGCAACAACTTTGTAAAGTAGGCTATTAGCTGATTAATGACATGGGACCCCATAATGTTTTCATTCAATTCTTATCGAGAACTACTGTCAATGTATTGCAAAAGGTAAATGTTGAAAAGCAGTCAACATGCCCTAAGAGACTTCACAGAGCTCCTCTCACCCTTCCCAAGACTGTAGCCCTGGATGTCCTGGAACTCACACACTCAAGGTCATTGCCTTGAGTCCGCTCCCGAGTGCTAACACTTGCCTTGTTCCTTCCTGGGCCAGCCACCCTATCTACTAGCTGTCACAAACCCATCACCTTTTGTTGTTTGCCTCTTGCTTGTTAACCTGCATGCTTGTTAACCATCTCTCCCAGTAAGTCTTTTCTTTTTTTTTTTTTTGGTTTTCGAGACAGGGTTTCTCTGTGGCTTTGGAGGCTGTCCTGGAACTCCCTTGGTAGTCTAGGCTGGTCTCGAACTCACAGGGATCTACCTGCCTCTGCCTCCCAAGTGCTGGGATTAAAGGTGTGCGCCACCAACACCCGGCTTTTTTTGTTTTTTTCAAAACAGGGTTTCTCTGTATTGTTTTGGAGCCTGTCCTGGAACTCACTCGGTAGACCAGGCTTGGTCTCGAACTCACAGAGATCTACCTGCCTCTGCCTCCCAAGTGTTGGGATTAAAGGCATGTGCTGCTACATTAAGCTTTCAAGATTTATGAATGTTTTCCCTACATGCAGGTCTGGGTATCATGTGTGCAGTTCTCACCGAGGCCACAGGGGGGGTTTTGGATACAGACTATTGTGAGCTATCAACTAGGTGAGACCTAAACCCAGGACTTCTACAAAAGCAGTTAATGTTCCTAAGCTGAACTATCTCTCTAGCCCCTGGTTTTATGCCTGTTTTTATATAGAGGGTCTCACTACATAAGTTGGTCCTGAACTCAAGATTCTTCTGCCTCATTATGCTGAGTTCTGGAATTATTAGAATACACTAGCATGCCTAGTTTGATACTAGGGATGGAACCCCAGGCTTTGATATATCGAAGGAAAGAAGTATATCAAATGAATATCATCTTTATGCCCAGTTATGATAATTTTTAAGCTACCTTTAAAGAATTCTCCAGGGTAGTCTGGAGGTGGTGATACCATAGGAGAATCCAAGTTTACAATGGATTTCATGACAATTTCCAAAGCATTTCTTCCATACTGTAATAAAGAAAAAAAAAATGTTTCAAGCAGCTTCAACATTTGGTTTTTTTTTAACCCACTTAAATGCCACATACTTTTAGGATTGTCTATTCTGTGATATTACAGACAGCAGACATTCAATACACTAATGAGTTCTCCTGCAACTGCACAAACCAAAAACATTCACAATGTTAGAGATGCCGAAATGTACCTTATTGTCAAAGTTGAACCTGCTCAGATCTCTAGATTCTGTTGCTCTTCTGTCACCATGTGTAAGTGCCCCCTGGCAAAACACAGAATTCCTGGTCATCACCAGTCCTCCCAGAAGTTAGCTAAAACAGATCATCTGTGACACACACCAAACACAACTCAAAAACTTACCAAACTCTCCAGTCTTTTAGCAACAATAGATGCAAATCTCTGCTCTCCAGCTAGTTCAGAAATTAAAAAGACATACTCTGGAGCAGTTACTTGGTTTGACCTGTGTGTTCTTCCTGTAACAACATGTGTACAGTTCAACGATTGTGTTCATTAGGTAGAAGGCTATTCTGAGATCTAATTCCTACCATTTAACATTGAACAGGTATAAATACAAGGTCCCACATACTATAGAGTGACCTCAAACTCATTATGTAGCTACTAAGGCCTTAAACACCTGGTACTTCTGCTTTTACCAACCAAGTGCTAAGATTACAAGCTTGCATATCAACCCTGGCTAAGCCAGAATGACCTAACTAAAATACCCTTGAAAAGAAAAACTAAAGATAGTATAACCCTTCTCATCCCGCCCCTGAACAGCAATTTAACTCAATTAAACATCACTGTCATCATTACTCAAGGATTAGAACCTGAGTAACCATTAAAGCACAGCTATCACTTGGTTAGTCAGTGCTACCACACAGCCATTCTGGATTTTACATGTGGATCACCAGGTCATAGCAAACTGCACAGGAAAAGGAACTGGGACGTACCTTACATGCAGTTGCTAAGGGCTGAAACACAGAAATAGCTGGCTGGCTGTTCTAACAGACCCACACATTGTACAAATCTACAATAAAAATACTTTCAAGGAACCCTGTTCTTGAAGGCCAGGGACACTGTGCAATCCCACCACAGATTTCAATACAGGAAAAATGGAATTGATAATCCACTACACATCACAGTATATAGAGAACACACTTCCAATGTAGAACCTGAGAATTCCACAGGCTTATAGTGTCTCATACAGACATGCAAGCATGTCTCCAGAAATACCTTTCCTCCCAGAAGGATCCAATGGAGACACTTACCAAATTGCTGAATCGCCCTATCAGCACTCCAGGGTAATTCCAAAGTCATGTGAACTCTTCGCCTTTGATTTTGAGCTCTCCGATCAGCTTGTAATGAAATACCTGAGCTGGCAGCTTCTGAGATAATAGCAATATTCTATATCAAATTAAAAAAGGAAACAAAAATTACCTCTTAGCAAAGACAGAGTTGTCAGTGTCTAGAGAACTTCCTTCATTGGACAGTGATGGCTACCAGTGTATGCAATCTAATCTGTTTTCAAAGTAGTAAGATGTCCTGGTGTCAGCATGGCATGTACTGGCCAGAGTCAAGATTAGCTGCCTTAGTCTCCTTTAATACTAAGTATGAGCACACAGGCAAGCTGCAGCTAGTAAGGTATAGGTGGTAGACATAATGTGCAAGAAATGTTATTTGAAGTAGTGTGTCCTCAAGTTTTCAAGTGCTTAGATGCATACAGGAAGGCCTTACTTCAGGGGGAACCCTAATGCTAGTGATGGAGCTCACAGGTAGAGCACTTAACCAATAAGCACAAGGCCCTCAGTTTAAGTTCAAGAACAGGGAGGGTGCAGGCATGATGGTACACACCTGCAATCCCAGTAGGCAGAAGGCTGAGGCAGGAGGGAAAAATGAGTCCAAAGACATCCTGGGCTGTATAGCAAGACCCAGACTCAAAAAAAGAAAAAGAAAAAGGATGGTAGTGGTCTCATCTACTCCAGAGGCTAAGGCATAAGGATCGCTTGAAATGAGAAGCTGGAGAGCAGCCTAGGTAAAACAGCAAAATCCTGTCTCAGGGAAGAGAATAAAGGGACAAAAGGAGGGAAAAGAGGAGTGGAAAAAAGGAGGGAAAAAAGTCAGAGGAATGTATTAATTTTGAGGCAAAGTCTCCTATGTAGGCAAATCACCATCAAGCTCAGGATCCACCTGCTTCAGCCTCAAAAGTTCTGAAACTACAGGTACCTGCTACCACACTTTTAGTCTTAATTAGGGTTTCTATTGCCCTGAAAAGACCACAGAAGCTCTTATAAGAAAAACTTTAATTAGGGTGGTTCACTTAATAGTTCCAGAGGTGGCATGCAGGGAGACAGGGTGCTGGACAAGCAGCAGAAGAGTCCTACATCTTACAGGGAACAGGAAGTCCAATGAGATACTGGAGAGTTTCCTGAGCATAGGAAACCTCAAAGTCTGCCTCTACAGTAACACACTTCCTTTAACAAGGCCACATCCACTTCCAGTAAGCCACACTTAACAGTGCCATTCTCTAGGAGCTTATGGGGGCCAATTACATTCAAGCTACCACAGTCCACTCCCTTTGTACACTGTGAAGATTTGTCCTGATGTTGGCTTAACAAACAAGCTGACTAGCCAATAACTGAACAGAACAAGGTTAAGTGGCAGACCCAAATTGAGAATGCTGGGAAGGAAAAGGGCAGAGATGAAGAGAGAAGACAGACATGCTGAACAGAGAAAATGTACCATGTCATGTGGCAAAGAATAGATAAGAAAAATGGGTTCATTTAAATTTAAGAGTTAGCTAGTAACAAGCCTGAGCTACTGGTTGAACATTTATTTAAAATTAATGTAAGCCTCAATGGATTTATTTGGGAGCTGCTGGCAGGACAGAAACTTCTGCCAACACTACCTCTCAGGTACCTCTCCATGTCTACCTGCACACTGCCATGCTCCCTATCATGGTAACAAACTAAACCTCTGAACTGTAAGCTGCCACCTCAATTAAATATTTCCTTCTTTCCGTTCGTTCGTTCATTCATTCATTCATTCAGTTTTTCAAGACAGGGTTTCTCTGTGTAGTTCTGAAACCTGTCATAGAACTGGCTCTGTAGGCCAGGCTGGCCTCAAACTAACAGACATCTGCCTGCCTCTACCTCCAGAGTGCTGGGATTAAAGGTGTGTGCCACCATCACCTGGCAATGTTTTCCTTCCTAAGAGTTGCTGTGGTCATGTCTCTTCACAGCAACAGAAACCCTAACTAAAAAATCTTGTGTAAGCCAGAGTTTTAGAACCTGAATTTAATCCCTAGCATCCATCATGGCAGAGGGAGAGGACTGACTCCCAAGTTACCCTCTGACCTCCACACAAAATGCCACGGCATGCTACCCACAAACATACATCCATACAATAAATAAATGCAGTAACTTTTAAAATTATGATTTAATGGCAGGTGGTGCATGCCTTTATTCACAACACTCGGGAGACAGAAGCAGGTGGATTTTTATGAGTTTGAGGCCAGCTAACAGCTAAGTTTCATTGTCAATTGATAAGCATTCATAAGATTACTGAAACATATCTCAGACAATTAAATCTTGCGGACTTTACTCTCATCAACAGATTATTCTCTTGCTAGATTCCTAACATAATGGTAATTAAAGGTAATGAAGGTTAGGAAGTGGGGTCTCGTTGAAACAAGAAGTTACTTGAGACAAATCCTTTGGGCTCTGTCTTCCCTTTTGTTTCTAGTCACTGTCACATCACACAATAGGGTAAAAATATGGAATCATGAGCTAAGGTTAACTTTCAGTCCTAAGTAACTGTTGGATACCCAATGGTAGCTATGCAAGAGTAACTAGCACAAGAAGGAAGACAGGGAAGGAGATAAAAAAAAAAAATCACTACAATGACTCACTACTTTCATATTCAGAGTAAAGTATCCTTGCACCTCTCAATCTCTCTAATTTTTCAGACAAGGCCTCAGTAGACCAGGCTGGTACACTTTAGCCAAGAAGACTGAGCTCCCAATCCTCCTGTCTCTACCTCCAAGGGTACCATCTCATCTGGTTTGAGTATTCAAGAGTTCAAAAGTTCTAAATACCAAAACAATGACATTCACCTTATAATCACTAATAAAAATAGACTATTCAACAAGTATATTAACAGAATCTGTGGGTGTGGAGGGATGGAGAGCAAACCCCTCTAAAGCTGAACATATAGGCAGATGCCTCTATTGAAAATCACTCCAGAAAAACATACCTTCTTTCCATCCATAAACCTTTGCTTCTCTGTGATGTTTAGAATTTCCACAGGCACATCAATTTCAGTCCGTGACTCGTAAGATATGCTTCCATCGTCATTGCTCACCACCCGTCCCTTGCGGCCAGTCATCTGAGAGGGAAGCATCAACACAGAGCTTTAAGGAAATCGGCTGGGAACATGAAACATGGATGATACAAGCTGGCACTGGGACAAAAGAACGTTGCAACATGAAAAACATGGCAACCATCATAAAAGCTGCACAACAGTACAGGAACCAGGCTCAGGCCAAACCTCAGACACTGAGGACAAACCTTCTGTAGTCACAGCTTGAGAATTAAAGCAGAACAGTGTCCAGAGAATGCGACAGCATTTAAAAAGAGAAGAAAATGATAACAAGAAGGAGCACAGTACTAATCACATCTATTTACCTCAGCCACATTTTCAGGACCACCGAGGTCATCAATAAGTTCATCCAGGGTGTTAGGAGGCAGGTCTTCAGCTAATTTGTCTAGTTTATCAAGCAGGTCTTTCTTCATCTGCTGTGCCCTTTCCACAGCATCCTGACTCGTTATAAGGCTACTGTTACTGTTGGTGTTACTGTTAGCTGATAAAGAACATTTGTTAATCAGTCACACTTCCATACCCATTTCCATAGTAGCACATTCCCAATAGGACTTTTCTTTCTGCACGGTACCTGGGGCACTGTTGGGAGCAGGCGAGATGACTGGTGCAGAGGAGAAGCTGGGCCGCTTTGAACCAAGCCCTGAGGCTAACAAGGCACTTTGAATAGAATCTGGGTCTATACTTTTCTTCTTTTTTTTATCTTTGCTTTTCTTGTGCTCTTTCCTAATTAACCAAGGATCTAAAACATAAGGCAAATATGTATCAAATAATTGGTTAGAAAAATACAGGACCCACCCGCTTTGAGACTGTGTAGCTCTGGGGATTCTGTGTAGCTCTGGCTGTCCTGGAACTCCCTCTGTAGACCAGGCTGGCCTTGAACTCACAGAGATCCACCTGCCTTTTCCTCCTAACTGCGGGGCAAAAGGTATGTGCCACCACTGCCCAGCTGATTTTTAACTATGGGTATGTGTGTGTATCTGTATATAGGCTATGTACACAATATATATGTCTACAGAAGTTCAATGTCCTTGGAGCTGTAGTTCAGGAAGTTAGGAGCTCACAGAATCATTGAGAAAATAGTATCTTTTGTCTGTTTTTTTTTTTTTTAAGATTTATTTATTATGTGAGCCATCATGTGGTTGCTGGGAATTGAACTCAGGACTTCTGGAAGAGCAGTCAGGGCTCTTAGCCTCTGAGCCATCTCTCCAGCCCCTTTTGTCTGTTTTTAATACAGGGTTCTACTATGTAATTCTGGTTGGTAGGAAACTCACAGAAATAGATTGGCTGCCTCTATATCCCTAATTCTGGGATTAAAGATTTACACACACACACACACACACACACACAGTCTAGCAGTTAAGTTCCCTTCTGTTCTCATGCAACAGTTCATTGAACTCACCGTCCTCGTTGTCTTCACTGGACTCATCTCTGAAGGGATTGAAATCATCATCATCCCCAGAGCTCATGTTTTTAGAGCTCTCATAGTCGCTTTCTTCATTGTCAGAGACATCAGACTCACTTCCACTGTCATCAGAGCTGCTACCAGTAAGGCCACCAACTTTTCGTGCTTTTTTGGCTTCTCGAGTTATTTCTTCACCTACCCTCAAGCCCCAAACAAGAATCAGCTGGAAATTCAATGTTTCTAAAGACCTATGGTGTCAGATTTTAGTTGAGTTTACTGAGAACTGCAGACAGCAAGAGTGTACATTTTTTTTCTTTTTGGTTTCTCTGTAGGTTTGGAGGTTATCCTGGAACTAACTCTCTTTGAAGGTTGGCCTCCAACTCACAGAGATCTGCCTGCCTCTGCTTCTCTTGAGTGCTGGGATTAAAGGCATACGCCACCAACACCTAGTAAGAGTGTACATTTAGAACAAATCAAGCTCACAAAGAACCAAGACTCTGGTCATGGTCTGCTACTCAGAAAGAAAATGAAGGGTTGGATCAAAGCACATTACATGCATGAAATTCTCAAAACCAAACATGAATTCAAGACTGAGTACAAAAAGGACCTAAGTCACAGTCCTGTTTTTTTTTTTTAATATTTTATTTACTATGTATACAATCTTCTGCATGCCAGCAGAGAGCACCAGATCTCATTCAAGGTGATCGTGAGCCACCATGTGGTTGCTGGGAATTGAACTCAGGACCTCTGGAAGAACAGTCAGTGCTCTTAACCTCTGAGCCATCTCTCCAGCCCCCCACAGTCCTAACTGTTAAGTAGTTGTAAAAAGGGCATTAGTGACTAGGTATGAAATACCTAGAAAAATTAATGCATAAGCCAGGTATGGAAGTCTCTAATCCCAGCACTTAGGAGGCAAACACAGACAGGTCTCTGTTGAGTTCAAAGTCCGCCTAGTCTACAGATTGAGTTCTAGGTACATCAGGACTATCAAATGAGACCCTGTCTTGAAAGAAATGAAGGTGGGGCATGGAAAAGATAGACATACTGACTTATAAAAGTCTCATTTTTAAAGGTAAATAGGTGATTGGTTTATTACCTAATACCACTAAAACAGATTGAGAAAGCTCAAACCCTAAAATCAAATACTAAGAAGTTCTCTTATCTAATGGACCTGAGAAAACCTAACTTGAGACATGGGGAGACGGCAGTTACTCTACCATACTATTGACTGTAAGACCGGTAGTAGCTCACTCAATTCAGGTACATTACAAATGTGAGAACCACTGAAATGGTTCAGCAGGTAGCATGTTTGTCACAAACCCCAAGGACCAGAATTGGACCCAAAAACCTACAAGGTAAAAATGATCAAACCCTGCAGGTTGTCCTCTGACTTGTACATGTGCAACAACAGACAGATGTAATAGTTTCAATATGAAGAATGAGTATGTGGTCATGTCAGTCATTACTTAGAGCCTACGTGACTGCAGGTGTTTTGTCTGAGTAGGCGAAGGCATGAGCCCAGGGCCCAGAAAGCACCATGGCCTTTTTTTTTTTTCAAGATTTATTTATTTATTACATATACACCAGATTGAATTGTAGGTGGTTGTGAGCCACCATGTGGTTGCTGGGAATTGAACCCAAGACCTCTGGAAGAGCAGTCAGTGCTCTTAACCTCTGAGCCATCTCTCCAGCCCCGCACCATGGCCTTTTTATCAGAATCTACAACTTACTTCTGAAAGCACAGAAAGCACCCAAATACAAATTCTAGTTTGCGTAATCACAAACTAGTTAACTTAGGTGAAATCACCCCTAAAAGTTAATTAAATACACTAACCAAAGTCTCTTTAGCCTTAACCAGCAAGGTGAACATAATGCCTGTAGCCCAGCTGCTCCAGAAACAGAGGCAGCAAGAAGACAAACATTACCCAGTACTGCCAAAAAGGGGGTGAGGGGATGGTACACTGACCAGCCAGTTCCATGTTTGTTAAACAGCAGCTCTGACAACACAAAGACTAAGTGTATTTTTTTTCATCAGTATCAAAATTGTTTAATTTCATTCTTTAAAAGACAAAACTATTACACATATAGTTATCATAATTTTATATTTCTTTATCATATTTTTCATTCATTCCATCTCCTTCTCTCTTGACAAGATCCCACTTTGTAGCAAAAATAAGACTAAGTGTATTTAGAACAATCTTAACTCTAATTTTCTAAGTACTGAACAGAGTATCCAGCTAATTAAAGTAAGTGGGACCACTTGTGCATTCCCTGAGACAAAGGAAAGAACCAGCCCCTTCCCACTCAAGAAAGGTAGGCAGGATCTCAATCACAAACAGCTACTTCAAAAACCCAGACCATTGGCACTGCCACCATCAACTACTTAAAGAAAAGCACTCACCTTTCCGCTTCTTTATTTTGTTTTCCTTACAAGGGCTATCTCTTGGTGAGCTGTTGTTACTTGGAGCTGTCAAATCAATTCCTAGTAAACTATAAAGTTTCTTCCTGTCTGGAGCAGGGAAGTGTTTTTCAATGAGTGACTGCAATACCCCTCTGTAGGAAAAAAGCAGTGAACCTTATTACTTCATGAGGCACCAGTAAAATCTTACTAGATATAGTTAAGAGAAATATACATGCCGGGCGTTGGTGGCACACGCCTTTAATCCCAGCACTTGGGAGGCAGAGGCAGGCAGATCTCTGTGAGTTCGAGACCAGCCTGGTCTACAATAGCTAGTTCCAGGACAGCCTCCAAAGCCACAGAGAAATCATGCCTCAAAAAGAGAGAGAGAAATATACATTTTCTTCAGTCTTAATACACAAGGATCACCCAGATAAGCCTCTGGAGAGGGCTTGAACTGATCTTTCCCAATAATTGAGCACTTCCTCAATTGTCATAGAACCTACATCCAGTAACTAATGGAAACAGATACAGAGATCTACAACTAATCAGTAGGCCAAGCTCCCAGAGTGCAGTTGAAGGGAGGGAGGTATGATATTATGAACAAAGGGATCAAGACCATGATAGGGAAATGACAGAAACAGCTGACCCAAGCTAATGGGAGCACACTGACTCCAGACTGACAGCTGGGGAATCAGCAGAGGACCCAATTAGGCCCCTTGAATGCAGGTGACAATGGTGTGGTTTGGACAGTTTGCGGGGCCACTGGCAGTGGAACCAGGACCTACCCCTAGTGTATGAACTGGCTTTTTTTGGAGCCTGTTCCCTATGGAGAGACACCTTGCTCAGCCTAGAATCACGGGAGGTCCTTGGTCCTGCCTCAATGTGGTGATGCGACAAATTTTGTTGACCCCCCATGTAAGGCCTTACCCTATATTGAAAAACCAAAAAAGAAATAGATGCAACTCAGCTCAAGTAAATTTTAATACACCACCCATTTTTAATACTTTCTAGTACTTACATTACAGAGTAGGGCAAGGTCTGGGAAAATGGCTCCCTGGATAAGGTCTTGCTCTGCAACAAGCATCAAGACCTGAGTCCAAATCCCTAGCAAACACATTAAAAGCTGTAGCATGGCTGCATATGCCTGTAACCCAAGCATTGGAAAATGGAGACAAGCAGATCCTAAGAGCTCACTAGCCAGTCAGTTCAGCTGAAATGGCAGGGTTTCAGTTCAGAGACCCTCTCTCAGGAAAGACAGAAAGCAACAAAAGACACAACACTCTGCATGTAGTGACCAGTCCCCCATTTTAGCAGCCATGACAGGCTACCATGTGCTTGCATGACCTTGCAGCTCCTGTCCTGATCACTAGGAAGTCAGATGCCCTCCCTTGTGGCAAGGAACCAATCAGAAGTTAGCTGGCGGGGCTGTGCTTTACGGCTCTGGGTGTGTTTTACAGACAAGTGCAAAACAGTGATATGCAGAACATAGCAACCACCCTGGGAGGGCCTATGGGCCATAACAACCAGTTGACCAATCACCACAGGGCATGTCATCCAAAATTGAAAGTGCACCAATCCTGAGACTTTCATGCCCCTAGATACTCCCCTTACACTGCCTTTTAAGATCCCTGCCTCGAGGGTGCTCAGGGTCTTTCTCTAGCCATCCACCATGGTGGTGGGGCGAAGGGCCCAAGCTGATAGGCTTAGCTGGTTAAACATCTACAATAAAAGACTCTTTGCTTTTGCATTGAAATGGGCCTCTTGGTGATTTTGGGGTTGGTAGACCAGGCTGGCCTAGAACTCAGAGATCTGCCTGCCTCTGCCTCCCAAGTGCTGGGATAAAAGGCGTGAGCCACTAACGCCCGGCTGATTTCTTATGTTTTTATAAAGTGTCTTTGAAATCTCGTGTGTTTCACATTAACAACATAAATGGACCTACACAGTCATTTCAATTGCTTAGTAACTTCACATGTGACAAGTAGCACTTTCTCAATAATTTAAAACAGAAAAGTACTTCAAATTTTGCTCTTATGACTTGTTTTCAATGCCAGGAGTCTTTGAAAGCACTGGAATGTGTCCCTAAAGGGGAGCAGAAATATAGCCTCATAGCTATTGTGTTGGCTTATTATTATCAGCTAACATTTTCTAAGATTTAAAGAAAAGAAAATTTTCCAGGACAGCCTCCAAAGTCACAGAGAAACACTTGTCTCAAGGGGGGAAAAAAGGAAAGAAATTTTATATTTATTTTATGTGTATGATTTGTTTGACCCTATGTATGTCTATGAACCACGTGCATGCATGCCCAGTGTCCTCAGAGGCCAGAAGAGGGCATCAGGTCCCCTGGAACTGGAATTGCAGGTAACCATGTGGGGGGTAGGTCCACTGCAAGAACAGCCAGTTGAGTGCTCTTAAACTCGGAGCCATCTTGTCACCTCCCTCAATAATTTTTAATATTGTTAAAACTTTCTGAAGTTGTAATTCCTATTTCTACTTTTTGTTTTTAGAAAACTGATTTTAAAATTATGCATATATGTCTGTACACAGATATGGTGTACCTGTAGTGCAGGTGCTCTCAGAGACAAGAAAGAGGGTATGGATCACTTAGAGCTGAAGCTAAACATAGGGTGGGGAACTCAGGTCCTCTAGGAGAGCAATATGGGTTTCAAATGTTTAGAGCAGATCCTATTCTACTGTAGCAAACTAGTAAGTGCCACTCAAAAAGAGCTGTGGTCATTATCAAACACAGTCCATCAAATCTGAAATTAAGCCATTTTAAAGATGTGCAGAACCAAACCCAGGTGTGTTAGTCCTCAAACTCTAAAGCTGCCAATCACTCAGCATTTTCAGGGTTATGAGCTATCTACATATTATTTTCAGCAAGATTTACTATAAAGAAGGAAAGCACAGAACTGTAAAAACTCGGATAGAGACAATTTTTAAAGACAACGCTTTATCTAATTAAATATTCAAGAAGAAATTTTTAAAAAATTACTTGGCAGTCGAAACAAAATCGTTTAGTTCTCCTCCACCCTCTTCCAAGGCCTCCAAAGTTCTAGCTTCTCCTGTAGACTGCAGACCAATTACCACACACTGGAAAACACAAAATACACAATTATAAATAAACATGCTGGGCTGGAGAGATGGCTCAGCTGTTAAAGGCTAGACTTACAACCAAAAATAAATAACATGCTGTGTCTTCTCACAACATATGCCTTCACAAGGAATATGTCAAACATCTAGTGAAAAAAATTTAAGCCTTTAACCCCAGCACTCGGGAGGCAGAGACAGTCGGATATCTGTGAGTTCAAGGCCAGTCTGGTCTACAAGCAAGAGCTAGTTCCAGAACAGTCTCCAAAACCACAGAGAAACCCTGTCTCGAAAAACCAAAAAGAAAAGAGAGAAGCCACCTTGATTTACAGAGTGAGTTCTAGGGACAGCCAGAGGTACACAGTGGGATCTAGTGTGAAAAAACAAAAACAAGACTAATCCAAGTAGTAGGTCTCATTAGACAAAGACTAGCTAGCTGAACACAAATTGCACTAGATGCGTCCCAACTTACCTTCCCATTCTTGATTTCCTCCCGGGCCAGTTGCACTACCCTTTTCACTTTGGATGCTATGCACAGGTACTTAAAAAACCTCTGATGAGCAGACCAGAATTGACCCCACATAGATTTCTTCATTCTTTGCTCAGCATCAATCAAATCTGCAGCTTGCTGAAATCGCTCTCTAGCGATGACCCACTAGAAATACATAGGCAACACATTACATATACATTTGAACACCATTCCTAAAAAAGGAACTCCTTTAACCAGGTGGTGCCAGCGCATGACTTTAATCCCAGCCTGGTCTACAGAGGAGTTCCAGGACAGGCTACAAAGCTACAGAGAAACCCTGTCTGGAAAAAAATAATAACCCCTTTAGTCAGGCATGCCTTTAATCCTAGTACTCAAAAGATTGGAGATCGCTGTGAGTTCAAGGCTATCCTGGTCTAGACATAACAGGGAATTCCAGGACAGCCACAATTACACAGTGAGACCCTGCATTCACAAAAATTAAAAGTAACTCCTTCAACCAAAATAATCTACAGTCACTTGGGAATCTCTGGACAATTTTTAAAATGCTCATACATAAATATGTCAAAATGTATACTATTTTAGGACATGATTACACTGCAATTGTTAATCTGATTTAACTGAAATGAATGGTTGTCTTTTATGAATTACCATAAAAAATAAAAACATGGAAAATAAGGTTATTGGTCAAATAAGCAACCGTGATCGTTATTTGCGGTTTTACAGCCAAACACATTTTTATGTTGAAAATGTTTCAACTGATAAAATTCATTTAAAAATTATCAGACACCTTAAAAATATTGACAAAACATTTCTCACCAGCTTGACTGCTTTGTTATACATTTTAACATAGCTCTGAGAAAGAAGAACTTCCTCAATTTTGAAGGTCACTCCAGTAAAGCTCAGTTGTCGTGCAATGTACATTCCTCTAAGCTTCATATCCATAGCAACTATTTCCATGGCACCAACACCTCTGAACAAAATTAAAACACACAGTAACTATCAATAAACAAAACAGCACTTTCCACACAGCAACAGTTATGGCAGAACAGTGCCAAGAGCCTTATTACCTGCGTTCCACTGCTTGAATAAAATCACTGAATTCTCTGAATGGAGTTCCCTCACCCCATATTCCAAGACGGTTCATATAGGCCATGTTACGTGGTTCAGAAGCACCTAAAAAAATCCCCAAATGTATTATAGCAGCAAAAGTAATGTGCACATATCTTTCTTGATCAAGTGTATACTCACCAGTGGCACTGGCATAAACAACTCTGGCTTTTGGCAATTTGTTCTGAAGCTCTAAAACAGCCAAGCCTGTCTTGGTTGGCTTTGAAGAACCAACAGGACATAGGTTTTTTGCTTTGTGACATTCATCAAACACTATCTGTAAGGAGGAACTAAGGAAAATATCAAGAGCAGAAACTGTCTATTCAAAAGTGTTGTCTGCAGGGCGGTGGTGGTGGTGCATGCCTTTAATCCCAGCACTTGGGAGGCAGAGGCAGAGGCAGGAGGATCTCTGTGAGTTCCAAACCAGCCTGGTCTATAAGAGCTAGTTGCAGGACAGCCTCCAAAGTCACAAAGAAACCCTGTCTTGAAAAACAAAAACAAAAAAGAACTGCTGTCTATGACCCTAGAGCATACAGGTATTTTCTGTAAGATTCTACACATACTCCAAGACCCCTCTGTACCTCATCCCCATTCTTTTCCCTTGTCCTGCAGCTTCTCAACAACTTGAAACTCACAGCTAGGGCCAAACAACAGAAATTTTAAGTACAAAAGGTGAGTTGTACCCAGCAAATAGAAAGGGCCATTTAGGCTGTGCTGACTATTTACAGTGCCAGAGCCAGTTTTCAGATCTCACCAGCCTCCTTCTGCTTTGATCTCCATGATGCAGCCTTGCCTTTAGAGTTCTCCAGCCTCCAGTCAGTGGGCCCTGGTTCACAGCAATTTCTTTCTTTCATAAAAATGTAGGAAGGAATTCATTGAGGCAAGAGCTATCACCTACAGTGGGAATTTCAGTAAACTGGCAACTAATTTAAAATACTATTTCAGAATTTGGGGTACCTCATCAGGACAGCAGAAGCTATACTATGAGGAAATAAGTGAGCACTGCTTCCTGATTCACAAGCATTGCATGGAACAGGCAGTGAGGAATAGAATGTAGCATTCCTCACATCTGACACATGGACTTTCTAGGTTCCAAGGACTCTTCCTAATATTCACTTAGTCAAAAAATTTTCTCAAGATCTATCTACACATAATTTTTTATTAGCAGTTTTGTTCTTGTTTGTTTTCAAGACAGGGTTTCTCTGTGTAGCCTTGGCTGTCCCTGAACTAGGAGATCTGCCTGCCTCAGGCATGGACTGCCACTGCCCAGTCCACACATAAGTTTCACGCCATTAGAAATCAACACAATGGTGGAAGAGCGGGCTGGAGAGCTGGCTTAGAGGTTGAGAGCACTGACTGCTATTCCAGAGATTCTGAGTTTAATTCTCAGCAACCACAAGGTGGCTCACAGCCATCTGTAGTGAGATATGGTTCCCTCTTCTGGCATGCAGATATACATGCAGACAGAACTCTGTATACATAATAAATATATAAATCTAAAAAACAAAACAAAACAAACAAACCACACAATTCAACAATCTCTGTTAAAGGATACCACTCCATCGAAGTCATCACCACACCAATGCAGAAGCTGTTTTAACCTGGTCTTATATTTACCACCAGACTGGCTTTCACCAATAAGAGAAGAATAGGTAGCAAAAATAACACCCTTTTTCACACTCCCATTGTGTTTGGAAGAAATTTTTCCATATTTAAACTAAAAAAAAGAAAATTTTAATTAGTACATCCTCTTCTCAAAAGTACCTACCTCAAACTTAGTAGGTTCATGACTCCAAAAAATCTAGACCTATAAAACTTACAATACACAAATGAGAGCATATCATAAAAACTCTACAAATGGGTATCAAATCAGCTTCCCTGTGGAAATTACAGCATTGGCTACTATGTGCAGCCATCATACTATGCACAAAGCACTATGACCGAGTTGAGGAATAGAGGACATCAGCAGGGGAAGTGTTAGCAAATAAATTGGGGGTATGATTCAGTGGTAGAGCCCTTGGCCTAGCATGCCTAAAACCTGGGCTCTATCAGCAACACCTCCAAACACAGAATTCTGAGCAATGTGCCTCTTTGTTACACTGTTCAGAAATAAACCTTATCTAGATGTCAGTTCTTGTGTTTTAGTTTTACACTGCAATCATTCAAAACAAAGCACATCTACTGGATTAAAAACAACCTAACCAGAAAAACCACTGACCTACCAAAGGAAAAGGCAGTGAGAACCAGGGTCCTAACGATGGGACAGATAAAAACATAAAAAGTGGATTTACAGCCATTGATTATCAAGACTAGTAGGTGTTAGTATTCAGGCATCTGTGCTGGTAGGCCTGGGATTCTGACAGGATACGCCCTCAGCTGCAGCCACTAAGAGCACCCCCTGTGCGTATTCGCTCTGTTCCTTTCAAAAGGGCCTTGCCCACCACCCTCCCACCCCTCCTTCCCCCTCTCTGTCTCTCCCTTTTCTGTCTCCTGCTGCTCCAGTCCCTGGAGGCCCATCTCCTCGACTTCCACAATCTTTCCCTTAAAACAAAACAAACCCACCAGGCGGTGGTGGCGCACGCCTTTAATCCCAGCACTCGGGAGGCAGAGGCAGGCGGATCTCTGTGAGTTCAAGGCCGGGCTGGACGACAGCCTCCAAAACAATACAGAGAAACCCTGTCTCGAAAAACCAAAAAACGAAAAACAAAACAAAAAAAAAAAACTCCCCTTGAACTCCGTGGCCTGGCATCACTTTTTAAAAAATGTTTTTTTTTAAATTTATGAAATTAGTTCCTTCTAAACCAACAAAAGGCATATAGTACACTTTAAGATTTGTGACAGGAGGCCAGATTTGGTGGCACCCACCTTTAAACCAAGCACTCAAGAGGTAGAGGCAGGCAGGTCTCTATAAGTTTAAGGCCAGTCTGATCTACAGAGCAAGTTCCAGGACAGCCAGGGATACATAATGAGACCCTGCCTCAAAAAAACAAAAACAAGATTTCTGCCAGGTATGGCATCTCACATGCTTAATCTCAGCACTAGGGAGACACTGAAGACAGGAGGATTGCTGTGAGTTAGACATCAGCAGGGCCTATATGGTAAGACCCTGTCTTAAAACAATAGAGAGTACTAGGCAATCATTTAGATTCTAATTATGTTAAAATTTGTTTTAGATACAGACATTAATTTTTTTGTTTCCATACCACCAGAAGACCTTCAACTCTGCTAAAGAAATACCAACAGTTTTTAAACAGAATGGTTCTCTCTAGGCTGCACTACTTCTCCACAGTGCACATGGACAGGCATATAAAGCTCTCTAGAAACGAAGACAAGTACAACACTGGAGACCAAGAAAATAAACTCCATTACACCAGGGACCACGCCTACTTTGTCTGCCACTGCTTAGCATGTGTGCTGTGTGGAATAGCTCATTTAATCCTTGTAACAAACCCACAAAAGATAACTGTTCCATTCTCATAGATGAATCCGTATACACTGATAATTCCATTGAATAGAGAGGCATCCCTACCTTATTTAATGAATGGACCAAAATGTTTTTTGCTCCAATATCCTTTAAATCTCTTTCAGCATCATATTTTAAGTCATTTGATACACTAAACCTGTCAAAAAAAGAAAGTAAACCAAATTAAACTTGAACAGCATTTTCTCATAGAACCAAGGAATAAAGTCAGGTACAAAAATAAATAAAAACACTTAAATTCATACTGCCATGCCAAAGAAATTAGAAGAAAAACAACAATAACAAAAACCACCACCAACAAAAAAGCCAGCTTCCTCGTTCAGTCAACCCCTTGGAACTTACCACAATGCTCTTTTCCTACTCAACAAATAGTTTTCATATATGATCCCTGCTATCGTCCGGCCTTTGCCCACACCAGCACCATCACCTATTAAGAAGCCAGCACGGTCTCCATTAGGGAGGAATGTTTCATGTTGCTAAAAATGGAAAAGGTGGAAGAATTGGTATCATTTTCTCAAGGTAACCGATAAATTGTTCATGCTTCAATAAACATGCTCCTAACCCTGAATTAAATTAATCACAGAAACCTGTCACCACCCTTTATGCACTTTGATGTAAGAGTGGCCCCTAGCAGGGGTGTTCTCTCTATAGGTACTACACTTTCTCCTTCTACCATGCCATACACTGAGCAAAGACAAGATATTAGTGAGGTAGTTTCCCTATTCCTTTGGACACCTGCCTGACAATATGCCAAGTATAACCATGGGGACAGTTGACCATTCTCAACATTGCTTATCCTACAAATCTCTTCAAGCATGACTGAAGTGAATCCCACTCACAAGATATAATTACCCATAGTACAGTTAACTAACTACCTTAACAGTGTTGGCACTCAAATATTTTCGACTGGAAAAAAAAATGGGGAAATACATTCTTACACATACTTCAAATTTCTAAAAGTAGAAACTTGGATAAAAAATAAATGCAGTCTTCCTATTAATAATATTCCCACATAAAATTCTAGGCCATGCCTTGCCATTTCTATAGAAAGCATTCTCAAGATTCCTGCCACACCTTCTCTCTTCCTAATATATGATCTATTTTTTCTTTGTTTTTATTTTTTTATTTTTAAATTTAAATTAGAAACAAGGTTGCTTCACATGTCTTTTTCTTTTTTTTTTTTTTTTTTTGAGACAGAGTTTCTCTGTCTGTTCCTGGCTATTGTGGAACTCTATCTGTAGACCAAGCTTGCTGTGAACTCAGAGATCTGCCTACTTCTGGCTTCCAAGTGCTGAGATTAAAGGTGTATGACACTACTATCTAGTTAATATATAACTTTTTAAAAAAATCCTGTTTTTAAGTTTTTCTGGCCAACTTCCTCTTCTGGCCTCTGTCATTACCTGACATATGTGGAATACACTCATAAGATACCCACATACATATGTACAAACAAATAATAAAATGAGTCAGGTATTGTGGTGCACACCTTTGATCCCAACACTCAGGAGGCCAAAGCAGGTGATCTCTGTGAATCTGAGGCCAACTTGGTCTACACAGAATTCCATTGATACATACAGAAACTTTGTATGAAAATATATTTAAGCAAAAAATTGTATTTTATATACCAAGATAAACCATCAAACTTAAGAATTACCTGGGCTGCGTAGGTAACCGCCTCGAGCTGCAATGCTGAGAGCCAGCCATTATCAATGGTTTCTTCAGAGATGGACGTTTTGTACCAAACATCAGGAGGAGTGACACTGGATAAAGAGCTAGTCTCCACTACTGCATCAGGGTGACGCAAGCCAATTTTCACTTAAAAAAAATTTTAGAATGTTTCATTCTAGTAACACTTCAGATCTTATGACAAGATAACACAAAATCTGTCTTACAACAGAGAAAATAGTAACCACTCACTTTGAGCTTATATACAGTTACTAACTATAATGTACTACTCACATTTGATTAAAATGACCTAACCATACAGTTTAGAAACTCATAATGAAATAATCTAGTTTAAAGCAAACCCCACTCAGAAGCAGAGGCAGGTAGGTTCCAGGTCAACCCCTATACACCCAAACTTTAGATAAGTTTAGATACCTCTAGTCCCATCTACCATGCAAGATGAGGCAATACTAGTATCTTAATTGTTTCAGAGACAATTAAGTTCAAGAGGAACCCAAGCCTTTCATTTTGACAAAACCTAAAGACATACATTTTATTGGCATGTACTCTGCATAGGTCTCTGCATGACCCATTTCTTCCTCGTCTTCTTCCTCTGGTTCATCTTCCTCTTTCACAACAGGAACCTTCTGTAACACAAAAGTGCAATCAATCTTAAGTCTAGAGACAAAAGGTCAGAATCTATGGGACCTTTTTTTCAACCTGCCAATACAAGGTACCAACTGCACACTTTGTAAAATCTCAGTTCTCACCTGCCTGTCTAAAGAAGAACAGCAATAACAGCAAATGAGCCAACACAGGGTTCTACTCCCTCCAGCTACAATCTAGAACTACTCTGCCCATCAATGCTCATAATCCCTCCCCCAACTCTCTCTCTCTTTAATCCAGGACTAGAAAGAACAGTGTAGAGACAAAAAGTGGGACACCCCAATGCACAAGCTTTCAAATCAAGATTTTAGAGAATATGCAAATATTAACAAAAATAACATTTTGACAAATTTTCTTTCCCATTTTAAATATTCCTCAAATATCGCCTGCCTTTCTTCCTGCCTACCCACCTTAAATTACTATCAGGCCTTTCTTCCAATAGTGTGTATTTATAACTCAATCCCTCCACAGAACTCCTTCTTCAATTGCCAGGTCTTCTGTACACCCTAGCTCACTGACCTGTAAGCAGAACCACCAGCTCCTCAGTGCCTATTAGTGTTCAAGAGTCTTATGCTCTATAGATTGAGCTAGCCAAGCCTTAGTGTTTATTCTTCCTTCTGAGTCCCTGTCAAAGTCTATCACACCCCTTCTCCATAAAGCCTACAGAATCACAGCAAGATTGTGTCCCTTCCCCATAACCCACAGCCTTTGGTGTACCTTTTTTTCTTGATTTTAAAGGTATGAGCTACCACACCTGAACCACATTGCACCTTTTGATGTCCCTTATACAAATCCTTATATGTAGATGGTGCCAAATATTATGTTTACTGAAAGAGAACTCATGAAGGAAGTCCTTTCAGATTCCACTGCACAGACACACTGCTATCCAGAAACATGAGCTGAAGAACCTGATCTAAGGCACACAGCACTTCCACAGTTATGGGAAAAAATTATTATTATTATTTTTTGTTTTGTTTTGTTAGACAGGATTTCTCTGTATTGTCTTGGAGGCTGTCCAGGCTGGCCTCAAACTCACAGAGATCCACCTGCCTCTGCCTCCAGAGTGCTGGGATTAAAGGTGTGTGCCACCAACACCCGGCGGGGAAAAAAATTATTTTAACAACTCATTGAGATCACTGCATGATCAAATAGTTCCACCAAGTTATCAAAGGTTTACAGTTAAATCCATGCTGTCATTTTTTCCTGACCAGATAAAAAAGGCCAGCCCTGCATGCAAAACCACTGCCCATGAATGATACAATTTCAGCCCTACTAACTTTTTGTAACTGCCGGGCAGTGGTGGCACATGCCTTTAATCCCAGCACTCTGGAGGCAGAGGCAGGCAGATAGATCTCTGTGAGTTGAGTCCAGCCTGGTCTACAAAGAGCTAGTTACAGGACAGCCTCCAAAGTCACAGAGAAACCCTGTCTTGGGAAAAACAAAAAAACAAAAAAATTAGCCTACTTCCACAAGCTTTTTGAGGACTTTTTAAAAAGTAATTTTAGTCAAGTAACTTCTATATTACATAGAGACATCAATATAACTATTTAAAACTCACCATGGTGGGAGAAAAACTCCTCATTTTCATGTCATTTATCCATATCCTTGCAACTTCTTTATTGGAAGATTCTTTTTTTTACTGCACCATTACTGACATCAGCTGCAGAAAGACAAGTGAATTAAATTTTACAAGTCTCAATTTCTTTTCCTCTAGTTTAAAAATTCAGCATTTTATTCATTTCAAACAAGAAGCAGTATCTGTTGGGCAATGAAGGCGCATGCCTTTAATCCCAACACTCAAAAGGCAGATGGATCTCTATGAATTCAAGAGAAGCCTGGCTTTACAGATCTGAGTTCCAGGACAGCCAGGGCTGTTACAAAGAGAAATCCTGGCTCAAAAACAATGCAAAACAAACGCTGGGTATGGTGATGACAAGAGGATCCCTGAGACTCACTGGTAGCCAAACTAGCCTAGGCTGTCTGATGAGTTTCATGACTGGACAGTGGGAAACACCCACCTCCCAGGGGAAAGGGGTCCTCGTGGACAAGGCAGACACAGGCACAGCGAGAGGCTTATGCCTGCCCTACCATGTACCTTTCACTTCTCTTCACAGCCCTGGCCCTTCTCGGAAATACAACGTAGTCATGATTTATCTTTCTTCAGTATATTTCCCCATCAACACCTCAAAATACAGAAGGGAGCTGGCACAATACAGTGACCAGATACATACTGAATGAGCAACAAAAATTGTTTCATACTCTAAAACCCACATTCCTAAACTAGGTTGTGGTGGTGAGCACCTTTAATCCCAGCACTTGGGAAGCAGAGGCAGCCTGATCTAAGTTCCAGGACAGCCAGGACTACACAAGAGAACCCATTTTGGGGGTGAAGTTGCAGAACCAAAAACCAAGCTAAATCAAATCAAAAGCAGAGCTGGAGAGAGGGCTCAGCAGTTCAGACAGCTTACTGCTCTCGCAAAGGACCAAGGTTCTTTTCCCAGCATCCACAAGGCAGCTCACAAGAAGCTAACTCCAGTTCCCGTGAAATCTGATGCCCTCAGGCTGGAGAGATGGCTCAGTGGTTGAGAGCACTGGCTGCTCCTCCAGAGGTCCTGAGTTCAATTCCTACCACCCACATGGTAGCTCACAACCATCTATAGTGGAATCTGATACCCTCTTCTGGCATAAAGTCATACATGTAGACAGAGGACTCATAAGCAAACAAAGAAATAAATAAATATTTTTTTAAAGAAAGAAATCTGATGCCCTCTTCTGACCTCAATGAGTACTTCATGCATAAGGATAGATACATACACCCAAGAAACACTCAGAAAACATATATATTAAACACCCAAAATCACATGTGAAACACACACACACAATAGTTTGTGAAAAACAGAAAGTTCAAACAGCTGAAAACTACTTACTAGCTGCAGTTGCAACTGGCTGAGCAATGTTAGCAGGTGGCTTCAGTTTCATGAGTTCATTTAGACTATTATTTTTCAGTAAATCCTTCAGCTGAACCTGGTCTTTTGAAGGAGCAGGGGGCATGGCATTTCGTACTGCTGGTGCTGAGACTGAAGGGCGTGTGTTTGCCGTGGTCTGGATAAACTTTGTTAAAGTGATGGTTTGCCTATTGGTTGTTGCAGGTGGTGTTTTAGTCATTACAATTGTAGATCCCAAGGTCGGAAGTTGATTTATTTGATTCAGCACAAATGTTGTAGTGGATGGAGGCTGCTGCTTAAAAAAAAAAAAACACGTCACACACTCATTGTGACTTTGATAGTCTGTATCCATAAACCCGATAAGCCACTTAGAAATCTAAAACTAGACATTGGATAGAGGGCTCAAAGGGGAAAGTTGCAGGTATTAGAACCTTGAATCTCCAGAACACAGAATGCAAGTTCCACCAGTCAGTCATGAACATCTGTAAGGGCAGCTCCAACAGTGACACAGGAGCTAGAGAAGCCCTGTCTCCAACAAGTTGAAAAGTTGAGAATGGTCCTCTGACCACATGCTACTGGGGCATGTACGAGCCTAGTCAACATACACATAAATCTAAACTTGACTCTATTCTTGCTTAACTAATGGTACTATACTACTACATTTGGGGGGGGGGGTTGAGACAGGGTGTCTCTGTAGCTTTGGAGCCTGCCCTGGAACTCGCTTTGTAGACCAGGCCTAGAACAGAGATCAGCCTGCCTCTGCCTCCTGAGTGCTGTGATAAAAGGTGTGCACCACTATTGCCTGGCTCTTTATTGCTAATTTAATGATTAGCTGAAAATTATCAGGTTAAAAAAAAAATAACAGTAAGCCGGGAGTTGGTGGGCACGGTTCCAGCACCAAAAACTATAACATTAAAAAAATAAAGTCAAAGCAGGGCGGTGGTGGCGCACGCCTTTAATCCCAGCACTCGGGAGGCAGAGGCAGGCGAATCTCTGTGAGTTCGAGGCCAGCCTGGTCTACCAGAGCTAGTTCCAGGACAGCCTCCAAAGCCACAGAAAAACCCTGTCTCGAAAAACCAAAAAAAAAAAAAAAAAAAAAAAAAACAGTAAAGGATATAAATTATAATGGAAAACTGCCCCAAGCTGTGACTCTAATAAGCCCCAACACTGCCAATCAGGCAGAAAACTCTAGGTAAATCATATAAACCACTGAAGACCTAGGTTTTCTTTCTTTTTCTTTTTTTGGTTTTTTGAGACAGGGATTAAACTCATTGAGACCTGCCTGCCTCCTATCCTAAGTGCTGGAATTAAAGGCATGTGCCACCAACACCCGGCTAAGACCTACATTTTCTTGAGTTCAATTTTCTTTCTTTTTTTTTTAGGTTTCCATCATCACCAAGCATGATGGCACACATCTTTAACCCCAGCACTTGGAATAGAGAAGAAAACACAGAGGAGAAAAAAGAAACAGCTAAGTGCAGTGGCTCAGGACTGTGAGAGCCACATATGGCAAAGAGACACAGAATGCACAGAAGTTGAATTCAGGGCCAACATGGTCTACAAAAGACCCTATCTAATGTAAGCCATCTCATTAATTTCATTAAAAAATGAAATAAAAATGAATCCAATTTGAAAATGCTAAGTTTTCTAATTAGCTAAATGGCTTTAAGGTATTTCTGTGTATCATAGATGTATATCTTTGTTCTTGTGTTAGGGATCATCCCAGGGCCTGGTACCTACAAGGAAAGTCCTCTACCACTAAGCTACAACTTTAGCCCCTTTTCATAACTCTTTCAATAAAAATCTTCTAGACTGCTATATACCACATTTAAACTAATACACATGGACACCTTTAGCCAGTTCAAACAATAATTTTATATTCTTTGGAGTTTGTTGATATTGGTTATACTTGAGGTAAGGTCAGAAGAACTCTGTATGGAAAGCACAATCTATCACATAAAAGCTATAGCAAAACAACTGACAAAGCCAAGGCACCAAACACTGAAAATGGTGAGATAACATGTACAGTCATTCATTCATTTCACCAATTTTTTGCTATTGTTTTTAATGATTTATAATATACTAGTTACCTTTGGTACATAGGGAAATCAAGCTAGTCAGAGCTAAAGATATTATTTAAAATAATTAGCCAGGTAGTGATGGCACATGCCTTTAATCCCAGGACTTAGGAGGCAGAGGCAGGCAGGTCTTAGTGAGTTCAAGGCCAGCCTGGTCTACAAATCGGGAGTTCCCAGACAGCCAGGGCTATTACAGAGAAACCCTGTCTTGAAAAACAAACATACAAATATATTTTTTTGCTACTACTCCAAACCATTTTAGAAATAATACCAAATCTAAGTGGCTCTTACCCTCACATTTAACAGCGCAGGAGTAGACATTGCCTCTGGTTCTTGTTTAACAGGAACTGCTGCTTCAGTCTCCAGACCTAGTTCTAACGCACTAAGTGGCATCGACTAGAGAGAAAATAACAGAAAAGATGGACAGCAGTGAATTCTGTTTCAAGAACACAGTTGTATTTATTTTATTAAAAAGAAAAAAAAACCTTCAGAGCTGATTCTACTTGAGAGGTAGATCACTTTTGCCTAGCCTGCAGAATCCTTGGCTCAGACCCCAGCACCATACACAGTCAAGATGAACAATCAAACACGATTTACAATCACTGTACTAGTTATTAACGGAATAATACTGGTCGACAAAAATGAACTTTATTTTTGCAAATGTATATAGAGAAATCACAAAAAAAGAGCCCAATAAAGACCAAAGCCTAAGGAAATTAATGCTCAGCAATAGAAAAAGTAATGTCTTGATTTTGATGCAAATAATATGTACATCATTAATAAAAAACACTGTAAGAAAATTTATGCTGGGCGTTGGTGGCACACGCCTTTATTCCCCGCACTCGGGAGGCAGAGGCAAGCGGATCTCTGGGAGTCTGAGGCCAGCCTGGACTACAAAGCAAGTTCCAGGACATCCTCCAAAACAATACAGAGAAACCCTGTCTGGGAAAAAAAAAAATCACATGTCAGGAGGCAGAGGCAAGTGGATCGCTTTGAATTTGAGGCCAGCCTTATCTACAAAGCAAATTTCAGGACAGTCAGGGTTACACAAAGAAACCCTGTTTAGAAAAACCAAAAGTTAACGTTTATTTAATCTTTTTCTAAAATGTACATCAGCAGTAAATGCCTGCTTAGCAGCACAAGACCCAAGGTTCAATTCCCAACAACCACAAACAGATAAACAACTACTGCTAATGATAATGACAATGGAAATTGCAAATTTAGAACAAATTTTAGAGGATTTGGAAAACTGTTACCTGTTGAACTGAAGGGGGAGTAGGAGTTGCAAGCCCGGCATCTCCATCAACATCAAAGAGGTCGTTTGGACTAATCCCACTCTCGCTCAAGGCAGCAAGCAGTAAATCTTGCCCTGGTTCCACCATCTTTAGAACAAAGTGAAAAATATTAACAACTCTCTTCTAAACACAAACAACCCAACACTGTCTATCAGAGCTGGTCATTTAGTACTTAGGAAGAACCTGTTACATACTGGAAAAAGAGTCTTTGATCCCAGAACCCTCACACTAAAATGAAAGGACACACAGAAGCACAGCATTCAGAGTAAGAATCTTTTATTCCCTGGACTTTGGACTAAAACCAAGATTAAGAGTGCATGCTAACACATGCATGGGAGTGCCCGTCTTTAATCCCAGTACTCAGGAGACAGCAGAGGCAGGCTGCTCTCTGTGAGTCTGAATCCAGCTGGTCTACACAGTGAGTTTCAGAACATCAAGGACTGCAAATAAAATAAAATAAAATAAATACACACTACAAGATTAAAGGAGGCAAAAGTGAACTGTACACAGGTTCCTAGGTATATGGTAATATTGAGTTCAGAAGAAGAAATACTCAAGACAAATGTCTTTTAAACACAGCATTCCAATGAACTGTATGTAAATTCACATACCAGGGGCCACATGTGAGAAGATTATTCATCCTTCTATAGTGATACAAGCCCTGATACAAGGGTTTTCAGACGCAGGACAGCTTGGAACAGTAATTTCTTATGTGGAAAGAGTACTGATGGCATTGTAAAAGCAAAATGAAGGAACTGGAGTAAAGCAGACTCAAAGACATTCACTGCAACAGGCACTGGGACTGCAGTGGCTGAGAGAAGGAAGACAAATGTGTTCTAAAATATTTAGCAAAGAGACTATAAGAAAACCGGCTCAAGGGTTAAGAGCACCTGCCAGTCTTCCAGAGGACCTAGATTCAATTACCAATACACATCACTGCTCACAGCTGTATCTCCAGTTATAGGGGACCCAACACCCTCTTCTGGCTTTCCAGAGCAATACACCAACATGGTACGCCCACATACATGCAGGGAAAACACCCATACACATACATTAATTAAAAAATTTCAATTTAAAATTTTCTACATTACATGCACTGTACAGAGAAGCCTTCCCGCCAGCATGGTTCCAGAGCCGCATCAGTCCCAAATAAACACACAGGAGGCTATATTAGTTATGAAGCTGTTGGCCTTGCTTATTTCTTACTGGCTAGCTCTGACTTAAGTATTTACCCCATAATTGTTAATCTAAGTATTTCTCTTACCAGAGAAATTTCCGGGCTTCCTACCCCATGTTGGTTACATCTTGACTTCCTGTGTTTCTCCTTCCCAGAGTCCTCCTGTACTCCTAGTCCCACCTATCTTGGTTCCTTATTGGCCAACAGTGCTTTATTGACATATTCACAGGACTTCCCCAACATCTCCTCTTTTCTGTCTAAACAAAAAATAAAGGTCTTAACTTTAACATAGTCAAATTATATATAACAGAACAGTTATCAAGTAAGAACACAGTTACAATATTTTTTCTATCAACATTCAGCAAGATTTAAAGAAAATATCATCTATCCCATCCTTGTGAGTCCAAAGTTCTATATGTAGCTTATCTTTTATCATAACTAAAGAAAACTATAACTATAACTATCTGCCTTCAAATCTATTAAAGAGCACAGAAGGATAATATATAAACACTAGAACTGACAGAGACATCTCGCTCTTCCTGGACAGTCACCCGGAGTTCCTCTGTAACGTTGGGGCATCCATCTTCAGCCCATAAGGCCACAATGTGTCTGGAAGACTTCTCAGCAAAGCAGGAAATTTCAAACTGTCCATCTGCACCAACAGTCTGTCAGTGATTTTTCTGTGTCCTGTAGAAAGTCTTGTAGACTCTTCCATGAAGCAGGAACCCTGTAGGACTGTATGAGTTCAGCAGTCATTTTCCTGTGGGTCCTGCATGTCTAGTTTATACAGCAAAAGTCCAGAAGTCTAGGCAATAGCAGTTTCTTGTCCAAATGTCTAATCTTGCCATGTTGAAAGCAAACTCCATAATGAGTTTCTTCAATGCCCATCTTCCTCTCAGATGTAATTGGTGATGCCAGGAGCAGACATTTCTCATTGTCAAGAAAAACCCTAAACCATTTTAAATGCCATTTTCTGAAGGTCTTTGAAAGGTTTGAAGACTGTCTATCTCAAATATATTTCTGTATATCTAGAAAACCTAACTAGCCTAACTATAAGTTCTGACTATTTTAAGTAACTATCTATAGTCTTATTGAATTATGCATTATGTTTTAAAAGGTCAGTATAAGCACAATACTTAATCAAGAAGAGAAATATACACATCACAAAATAGACCTTGAATTGGTATCAATAAATAAAAAACCATACCCATACCATAATTCCCCTTTTTACCATTAAAAAGAGATTGGCTGTGATCACTAGCCAATTATAAACAACCCCATTTAGCATGTAGGGAACTATCATTGTGTCTACCAAGGAGCTCACACTTCAGGTGACAGCTGCCACCAGCAATCTAACAAGCCCAACAACTACTACAACTACAAAAGTTTTACTTTTGCCAAAAGCACATCTGAAAGCATTCATGAAGAGGCTGGAGTAAGGAGCCTGTGTAGAAACTGTATGCCACTTTGGCAGAGAATCCTGAGAAGAAGCACTGCCACACAAAAGCACACAAAGTACAGCAACCATTAACAACCAACCCTTATCAGCAGGCATGAGACAAAGACCTAGTGCTCTTCATGCCTCTGAGCAGATACAAGGGACATCGTCTGCAAGGCAAGAGATCAGAAAGAACAGAGGTTCAAACACTGGCCTCATCACCCATTACTGTTCTAATATAGTCAAGTTAAAAGAAAAAGAAAAAACACTCATTCAACTCAGTTTCAGGACTAAGAACAACTAACTTCTGGGAGTGTTGACTATGTGAGTAAACATGAGAGAGAAGAGAGAAGAGGAAGAGAGGGCAATAATATCCAGAGTGAATGTTTGCAGCTGCTTTTTCCCTGTTTTGTTGTCTTTTGACGTGATCTCCCTATATAGTCTAGGCAAAATCCTTCTGCATATTGTGATGTGTGCTATGTCTTAAAATTTTTTATTAATGCCGGGCAGTGGTGGCGCACTGGGGAGGCAGAGGCAGGCGGATCTCTGTGAGTTCGAGGCCAGGCTGGACCAACAGCCTCCAAAACAATAGAGAAACCCTGTCTTGTAAATACCATAAAAAATTTATTAATGAGCGGTATGTGTGGTACATGCCTTTAATCCCAGCACCCAGAAGGCACATACAGGCTTATTTCTGTGAGTTTGAAAGCAGTCTGATCTACAAAAAAGAGTTCCAGATGAGCCAGGGCTGCTACACACAGAAATCCTGTCTCAAAAAGAAAATAAATTTTTTTGTATTAATGGCCAGGCATAGTGGTGTCTTTAATCCTAGCACTTAGCAGGCAGAGGCAGGCTAGCCAAACACCTTGCCACCAAAAAAAAAAAAAAAAAAAGTGCAGGTACACAGTTCATAGTACACACAAGATGGTAAGGGACCTGCAGGACACATGTGTGGAACTAAAGGAAGACTGTGGAGTCAGCTCTGTTACTTTTACAGTGAGATCAATTTCAGGCTTTTGCAGTAAGTCATTCCCCTGACCTATTACTTTGATAAACCTGAGTATACAAAAAGATTCCTTTTCTTTTGTATAACTGCTGTACCACTGTACCTCCCAGACTACAAACTTTTCATGACAGCAATCCATCTGTCTTAAGTTAGGGTTTCTATTACTGTGACCACAGCAACTCTTATAAAGGAAGCATTTAACTGGGGTGGCTTAGTTTCAGAGATTCAGTCCATTACCATGGTACTGGAGAGGTAGCCCAGACCCTACATACTGCGGGCAACAAAGTCAACTGAGACACCAGGCAGTATCCTGAGCATAGGGAACCTCCAGCTCCCCCCCCCTCAGTGACACACTTCCTCTAATGAGGCCATACCCATTGCAAAAAAGCCACACCTCCTAGTAGTGCTTATGAGCTTATGGGAGCCAATTACATTAAAATATTCTACAAGGGGCTGGAGAGATTGTTGAGTAATTAAGATCACTAACTGCTCTTGCAGAGGACCTGGGGCTTGATTCCCAGTACTCACACAATGGCTCAGACCAACTGTAACTCCAGTTCTAGGGGGCTCAGCGCCTTCTTCTGACCTCCTAGGGCACACACCAAGTATGAATGTGGTATACATAGTATATACACGCAGGCAAACACCCACACATAAAATAACAAATTTTAAGTTCTTTTAGTCAAGTGCCTTCAGTCCCAAAACTGGGGGGGGGGGGCCAGAGGCAAGCAGATCTCTGTGAGTTAGAGGCCAGCCTGGTTTACAGAAATGAGTTCCAGGACAGTCAGAGCTACAAAGAGAAACCCCACCTTTTTTGTTTGTTTTGTTTTTTGAGACACAGTTTCTCTGTGTAGCTTTTGGAGCCTGTCCCAGAACTTAATCTGTTGATCAGGCTGCCCTCGAACTCACAGAGATCCACCTGCCTCTGCCTCACGAGGGCTGGGATTAAAGGCTGTGCCAACACAACCTGGTGGAGAAACACTGTCTTGAAAAGCCAAAACCAAAACCAAAAAAGTTAAAAAAAAAAAACCAAAAACTAAAGTGTCTCCCATCTAGTTTGTGCAGATACTCAGATCTAAAGAAAATTGACAGTCATTTCCAAATATAAATAGATACTATCAGTTAGCAAATAATTTTGCCTGAATGAGTAACAAAACTAACCAGGCATGGTGGTGATGAAAAGTCTTTAGCCCAGCACTCAAGGGGCAGAGGCAGGTGGATCTTTGAATTGGAGGCTACCCTGTTCTGCAGAGTTCCAGGACACCAGGGTTACACAGAAACACCCTGTCTTAAAAACAACCTGTTTTAGCCGGGCGTTGGTGGCGCACGCCTTTAATCCCAGCACTCATGAGGCAGAGGCAGGCGGATCTCTGTGAGTTCGAGGCCAGCCTGGTCTACAGGGTGAGTTCCAGAACAGCCTCCAAAGCCACAGAGAAACCCTGTCTCGAAAAACCAAAAAAAAAAAA